AATGAACACATAAAGTGGGTACTGTTTTATTCTAATGAACACATAAAGTGGGTACTGTTTTATTCGAATGAACACATAAAGTGGGTATTGTTTTATTCTAATGAACACATAAAGTGGGTACTGTTTTATTCTAATGAACACATAAAGTGGGTACTGTTTTATTCGAATGAACACATAAAGTGGGTTCTGTTTTATTCTGGAACAACCGCTCTGTCTGCGAGTGACTGTGTGTGTGTGTGTTGAGGTAGTGGAGGGCGACTGTGGATGATGTGAGTGACCTTAATCCCGGCCTGAACTCGGAGAAAATAAGGGGCACCATGGGGAAAAGGACATGGGACAACAGAAGACAACGACAGGAGGTCGGCTGAAGGCGGCAAGCTGCTGGCACCACGACGGTTCTTAGCCTGGCAAACTTAAGGGGTTAGTAGTCATGTCTTGGGCCCCGAATGTGTCTTAGCAAGACCAGTAAAATAACTTTAACACGAAATTTAATAAATGTCCCTGTGTAATTTCACAATCATCGGATGCGGCCTTTGGAACAGAACTACATCACATTAGCTGGAATATTCTTTGGCTATCTCTTTAAGTCTCACTCCCAGCCGTTCAATCCTAGATCGCACTTGAACCATACGGGCCATACGCCGGGATCCATTCACTAATTTAAAAAGCGCATTAATTAAATTTTAACAGATGGTTTTTGAAAGAAACAAAAAATCGCACTAGCCGTGTTACGCACCGCTAGGATGATCCGCATTTGTTCAAGGCTTGGTGCTGGCCTCCGTTTTTTATGTGACTCTCGGCAATGACTCAGAGGTTACGATCTACTAGTCCCAGCTATCCCGGATGGCGCAGGGGGGTGGGGGAGGGTCGGTGGGTGGAGGTTGATGAGTTGGCAGAGAGGGGGGGGAATCGATGGAGGTTATCGATTGCCAACTACAACAACATCGGTGACATGGCCGGTGTCCACTGCAGATGGCGGTCTGGGGGCTGCAGAGAAATCGATGTGTCTTTCCTTCTCCGGTCATGTTGTCATGACAACAGACCAACGGCTGACGTAGCCGAGGCGATGCCCTGGCCAGTTGGCCGCACGCAGAGCCGTTACACCCCCGAAGCCTACCAGAGGACATCTGGAGCTTTATTAATTTATGTGCTGTAAAATATAGGCCAGCATAATTGCGTCATTCGCGTCTTTATTAATGTAATCAATAATTTCCCGATGACGTCATCAAAGCGGATTTAATAGAAACGCGTCGTCCTTGCTCTCTTAGAGTGGCATTACGGTATGATGGCGGTGAAGCATACTACCGGTATTACCGGTGAAGCATACTACCGGTATGACAATGTTGCACACAGGCGTGTTGGGTGGAGTTCAGAACCAGGCAATTGCAAAGCAACATTAACCCAGGCATGATGGGGGACATCGGACTGTGGCTCATCTAACCAAAGACAACGTCATCGACTCTTTGACATGGACGGAAGCCACTGCTTTAATAACAGACATGTTGTCGAGGCAAAAAAAAAAAACACCTTAAAGACATAAATTATGATAAATATAAATCAGTTTTTTTGTGTGTGCCCTCACTCAAGATCTTTGAAATGCAATATATGGCCCAGAAACTTTTCTTTTCACCCTTCTCCGCCTACCCAAATTTTAAAAAGAGAATTAATTATTCCATTGTGGTATTGATTTCTATTAAAGTGAACACCTCGGCATGGAGTCTGGAAGCACCTGCATTTGTTTCACCAAAAACAAAAAAAAACAACAACAAAAAAAAAACGAGGAGGACTTCTTAATGTCCAAATGTCATTTCATTTCTGACCGGGTTATTTGCTAGATTAAAAAAAAAAAAAAAATTAAGCGTTTACATTTGACACACTTTTACTGTTAACAAATCGTTCTGTTTTCATACCGTATTAAAATCAACGAGGTAATACTTTAAACAAAATTAAGAATAATCGTTAAAATTTAAAAAAAAAAAACAAAAAAAAAAAACAACAAAACAACAACAAACAAACACGACCCAATGCACAGAACAGAACGATATAAGACCAGTCTCTCACAAAAAAAAAGAAAAAAGATCAGTGATGGGCTCATGCCCAGGCACTGCAACCTATCTGCCACTGTACCATACCCGCATAGTGTTTCTTCAGTCAAGCAAGTTACATTCTTCAGTCAAGCAAGTTACATTAGTGATATACACGTCCTTCTCTTCTGTTGACAAACTTTGACAACGTGCTGTGTTAATGGTGCAATGTAACCTGGAAAGTTCTAGTTTACAAAAAGGGAGCCGGGGGAGGGGGAAGGGGGGGGCCGGCCATTAAAGGTAGGAGGTGTCGTCCTCAAGAGAGGTGCTGAAAAAAAAAAAGGGTGGGGGGTGGGGATCCATAGCCTGTTATAACCCCATTGCCTGTGCGTGAAAAGAAGAATACGGAAGCCTTGGGCTTACGTGGCCACGGACACGTTGACCACATTTCTCTAAGGAAAATTCGACCCCGGGTATCAGTTAACAGAAATAGTTGCCGACTGAATTTGATCTTAGATTATTTTAAAAAAATAGTGTAAAGGAATTATAACATTAGCAATCATTTTTTTCTACGCATAACAGATTATTGATTGCAATAAAAGCATCTTGAGTGCCTTGAGACAGAAAAAGCCATACATTACATTTGAGAAATGATTATTTGATTGATTTAAAAAAACAAAAAAACAAAACAAAACCTTTAAAATCAAAATCACCAAAACAATACTCATAATTTTCCATCACAAAAGCAACTATTCCTTAAAATATAGATAGACCTGCTGGTTATGAAGTTCCTTATAGTCTTATATAGGCCTAAATTTCTACAAGCTGAGATACAACATACAACAATACAACAAAAGCATTATCTAAAAAAAAAAAAAGAATCGCCCCATGAAAAATATTTCACTCCAAGGCAAAACACGCTCTGTAATCAGGGATACTTGTTAAGAACATTTTCCTGAAACTAAAATAGACAGCAGCTACACAGTCCCAGTTAACGGTGGTGACATTATGCATGCGTGTTGCCTCATGAATAATAAACACTAATGCCTTTCAACTCTATCTTAGGCTCAGCTCCAATCCTTAAACAATCAGAGTGGCTTGTGCAATCTTTGTCTTCTGGTTTTTTTTCCCTCCCCTTTTATCTGGCCTCAAGCCAGCCTTATCTCTAGCCGCCCATAATTTGACTTTGCCCTCAAGTGTTTCACAGCGGGTGAAAAATAGATTGACATAGTTGTCTTTGCCCGAACCATTACTTTACAAGAAACAGACTATACCCTCAGCAAATATATCCAAGATGGCCCAGTTCATATTCGCCGCTCGCCATTTTGCAGGGTTTTCCACTACAGACGTGAAGAGAGCTGCAACTACGATCCCCTGGTAGGGCCCTGACGTCACACGCCAAATGTTCGAGCGTGTTTCCACAGAGAGGCGAAAACGGCTAGGCTTTTTTTTTTCTCTACACGTCGGTGTTCGTATGGTAAAGCTTCTAGCCTAGGCCACAGTGTTATTCTGTGTTCTGCGTCTTGAAGTTCAAGCGGTTTTGTGAAGCATGGAGTTTTAACTTATGGAAACCATGTAGTTTTGTCGGAGACATGGTACGGGAAACTAGATATTTGATTGTGCGAAATTTGCCAGAAAATTGCACAGAGGAGACTGTTATTGACCATTTTCAACGGTGAGTACCAGATGGTGTATTAAAAAAAATTATATGTATTAATAATAATTATGACTTATGACGTGTAGTGTGTTAAGTGTGTAGTCACAGACCCTATAACCTACAACTATAATTATTTATATATTGTTTAGGTTGCGTGAATCATGGTTTAAAAAAAAGCACATTCATATATGGCTACCGCATATATATCATATATTTATGTCATGACCAAGAGCGAGTGTAGGCTTACTTAAATTTACAATCGTACAATGTAAATGTAAGTTACAGTTACATTTACATGCCTATCAAAAATGCCTAATAATTTACTAACTTTTAAAGTGATTACAATGCCTACTCACTCTTATAACGTGACAAGCAAAAGCTTCCCCCTGGGCAAAGCCTGAATTTAGGTGCTATATCCCCCCCCCTATATATTAAATATAATTATTTTTGAGGAAAATGACGTTTTTGGCAGCCTCTGACTCTGAAGGTTGAGCCAGGGCGGGAGCCCCTTCGCACGGTACTGATTATAATTTTAATTCTTTTTGTAAATTACATAAAAATAACAATATAACATACCAATCCTAGAAGTTAGAGGACCTACTCTGATAAGTCTACAACTACAATCCACCATCCTTGTTTGATCCTTTCCCTAGTCCTAATTATGTTTATTTATATGTATTTTTATATGTGAAATATGTTATATGTGTCTATAGTCATAGTCTAAAGGCGTAGGCTATATTAAATTGAGCTAAGCACCTGCTATGTGCTAATATGTCATCATTACTAGACAATAGGTGATATTAATAATACATTATACTATTTTTATGCATTGTTAACTTAGGCACACATAAGATGCTATCAGTCAGAATGAATATGCGTTGTGGGAGTAGTGTTGAACATGACATAGTATAAGTAAAATCACAAAAACAAAACAATGGCAATGGGCCTACCTGCAGTAAAATGTTTATACTTTAAAGCCATAACCTCATCCCAGACGTTTTCTGCTCAAATTTCTCTTTAACCAGTAAATTAAAGAACGATTTCTTATTAACATGGATGTTAGCTGAGATTAATCACATGGTAAATTTTGTTTTTAGTTGGTTAAAATTTTTTTTGAAAGACTAAGACTAAGGGTCTCTGTTTTTTCAGCATGGATGAATTTGGTGTAGTTCTTTTCAAGACCTAATTTAAATGTTAAGAAATTAAAAAAATGATCCCATACCATAGCTCTAGTAGGCCTACTCCTCTGGTATATTATTTATCTACAAACCACCTTCCCAGTTTGATCTTTTCTCTAAAAATGTTTATCTTAGTGTTTTTTTTCTGCTTTAATTTAATACTAAATACCTAAGGCACTGTGCTCAAATTATTTTGGATGTTATCATGTGTAAAAGTTTTAGCTATGTAGGACTAACCTGTTGAGCCAATGATGGTTAGGGTGTACAGAAAAAAAAGGGTAAATTGGTAAATGATTCAATATCAATGATGATTGCTTTGCCCACTCATCTGAATTGATGAATATTAGCACTCTCCTGTTATATAAATAAAAATCATAATATACCCTGTACCTTTTTTTTACCCTTTCCTTATGTTTATATTTTATTTAATTTTAAAGAGCTACATCTCAGTATATATTATAAATATAAATTCTTAAAGTAACTAATTAAATAGTTATGTATATCGTGTGTACATTCCATGTTTGGCTATGAGTTTTTAAATAAATGTGAGTCTTTTTCTGCTCTACTTTTAAAGTACTGCATTCAAATTAATTTGGTTGTAATCATTTTATGGAAAAGGTTTATCTTTAAATTTATGTTAGAAATTATTATCTCTTTAGCATTGAGGGTTAGGTTGTAGTTCCTTTAATACCTTAAAAAATAAATGATGATCACATTGCTCCCTCTTCTGAATTGATGAAGACTAGCACATGTCTGATATATTTAGCCATGACCACTTACCATTTTTAAAATCCTTTTCCTAATTTTTAACTTTAATAATGATTTTTATCTTTAAATTAAATAGTTCCATTTTGATTTATAAGTTCTTTAACTACTACTAGCTTTAGACTAGTAATTTTTTTTGTCATGTCTTAAGATGAAAAATTGTACTACTGGTAAAAATTTTAAATAAATATATATCAATCTTTAACCGTTATTCTTTAGTACTTTAACTAATGGGACTGCGTAGATATTAATTTAGATCTAGTTGTAGTATGTGAATTTTTTACAGTTTTGTCCTTTAATTGTATTGCGGGTCTTATATGTTCAGTGTTGATGGTTAGGTCTTTAAAAAAAAAATCTCATTTGTAATTCTTTATAAAATCTACACAAATGCAAGTTGTATGATGATCACATTGCTCCCTCTTCTGAATTGATGAAGACTAGCACATGTCTGATATATAACATATATAACAGTCTCCCTTTTAAATCTTATTCCTAACATATATAATTATATAACTTTCATTTAAAGAGTTACAATTCAATATATGTCAGTTCTTTAAGCAGCACTACCTTAGAGTCTAATAAATTCAATATGTATCAGTTCTTTAAGCAGCACCACCTTAGAGTCTAATAAATTAGAGTCATGTGGTAAAGACAAAAAGTGTAGTGTATATAATTTAGTTTTTCCTGTTTACATTGGGGTTACTTTCACTTAAGGGACTGCGCAGATATTAATTTAGATCTAGTTTTAGTACGTGAATTTTTTACAGTTTTGTCCTTTAATTGTATTGCGGGTCTTATATGTTCAGTGTTGATGGTTAGGTCTTTAAAAAAAAAATCTCATTTGTAATTCTTTATAAAATCTACACAAATGCAAGTTATATGATGATCACATTGCTCCCTCTTCTGAATTGATGAAGACTAGCACATGTCTGATATATTACATATAAAACAGCCTCCCTTTTAAATCTTATCCATAACATGTATATCTTTCATTTAAAGAGTTACAATTCAATATATATCAGTTCTTTAAGCAGCACTACCTTAGAGTCTAATAAATTAGAGTCATGTGGTAAAGACAAAAAGTGTAGTGTATATAATTCAGTTTTTCCTGTTTACATTGGGGTTACTTTTACGCTTATGGGATTAATATTAATTTAGATGTTTTATATTATGGGAAATGGCAAAGTTTTATCTTATCATTGTATTGCAAGTATTATTATCTGTTTAGCATTGTAAGGGCATTTAAAAATATCATCCTTTAATTCTTAAGACCTAAAAAAATCTAAATTAAATGATGATCCCATTATCCCATTGCTCCCTCTTCTGAATTGATGAAGATTAGCAAATGTCTGATATATATTACAGATCTGTTTACTCTTATTATTTTGGCGTACAATGTAAGATTTTGGATGTAAACATTATATATACTGTATGTTTATTGTTTTACTATAAAAATAATGTATGTAACGATTTTGTGATGATGTTGTACAATTTTAAGAGTAAACAGTTCTGAGATTACTATATTATTATTATTATGTAGCACTAGCTATTGAATTAAGTAAGTTTATGTAATGGTCTTGTTCTGTTCATATTAATTTGGAGGTAATGTATAAATATTATGGGAAATATCAAAATTTTATTTTGAAATTTATATGGTCAGACTAAAAAAGTCATATATGATGATTTTATTGCTCCCTCTTCTGAAATGATGAAGACTAACACACGTCTGATAGAGTTACATACAAAACCGCCCTCCCCTTTTCTAATCTGATCTCTAATCATGTTTATATTTCCATTAATTAGCTCCATTTCAATGTATAAAGTCTTCAAAACCACACGAAGCTAGTTAAGTCAGGTCCTCAAGAAGAATAAGTCTTATTATATTACAAACAGTTCTATTTTTGTGTGTCTGGCTATGCAAATGTTTTAATTTGTATATAATTGTCCTATACCGTTCTACTCATTTGGACTGCATTCATATTAATTTGAATGTAATTTAATTATGAGAAACATCCGTTTTATTTTAAGATTGTGTGGCAAGACCCATTTTAACATTGACAGTCATGGCATTAAAAAAATCATCTATTGTCACTATTGTAGTTCTTTTAAGACCTAACATAAAGTTAAATGATGATCACATTGCTCCCTCTTCTGAATTGATGAAGACTGGCATGTGTCTGATATTTTATTATTTAAACCACTCTCAATCATCTAAATCCTATTCTTGCATTTCATTATAAAGTTCTTTAAACACATATTTGCTATAAGACCAATGTTTACCAAAGTGTGGTGTACAACCCACACGTAGGAAATCTGAAAATGATAGAAGACATTTTAGGGGGGGGGGGCTAAAAAAAGAGCTACATATTCTTTTTAACAGCACATTAGCTATAGTCCGTAGTAAATGTATCTCATGTTCTAAAGAGTAAACGCTCCTTTCTATTACTTAAGATCTAACGTATTTGAGTTGAGTATTAGTTAAAGATTTAGCTTTACCTAGCACTTACAATTAAATATAGTATGGTCTGCAGATTCATTGGTTTATTATAATATGAACAGCGTTTTTTTTTTTTTATAGTAAAAATAGTGCATTGTTTATATATAGGTTACTGCCGACTGACACGGTGTGTTTCGTGTCGAGATTGTGTGTGTAGCTTTTCCATCAGGCTGCTCTGCTTTGTTAGGAATTTTCCATGCTTCCTGCTAATTTTTTAACGATTCAATGATTAGTCACGGTTGAAAAGCTTCTGTTTCTCATGACACCCCACTGAAAGCGTGCTTTGTATTGAGACTTTGACACGTGAAAAATAATTGACACATGCAACTAATTGAAACCCTCCATAAAATGCCTTCATTGTGTTCTCATACCTCTCTTTATAAGACATTAAAAGATAGCAATCACTTGATGTCTTCCGATATCCTCAATTAAGCATAGCCCTTCATGTGTTTGCTGTTTTGATAATAACTGCTTCCTTTTAGAATTTTGTGTGTGTGAAGAATGCAGTTTTGTCGCAAACAAGAGGTTAAATCCGAACATTGACTCCGACATTCTCACCCTTTTATTACTTATTGTCTTTGCAGATAGCTATGCTGTTTTCTGTATACTGCTATAAGTTCAAAAGTCATTCCAGGCCCCTTACACTTTTTGTGTGATAGTTCTGTGGTTGAGACTTGGTGGTTTCTGATAAAGAAACGCAAGACTTTTAAAAGTTTTTCACAGTATTTTCGTGGGTCTTGTCCAAGGGGCATCCTTTTTGACATGGCTACGGCCCCTGTGAAATACTAATAGAATCTGATTTAAAGGCGTGGTTTCAACCTCTGATTTGATTGAGGTGTTCGCTTGACTTTTCATTGGGACTTAATGAAATATTGTACGTTATTTGTTGTCATTTGATCATCTTTCTTCTCCTAATAAATTATTGAAACATTTCTGCTGTGTAGACCAATTAAGTTAACCAGTATTACATTTTAGTTACATTTTTTTACCTGATTTTAAAAACAATAATTAGATGTGTATGATTTCATTTATCAGCTGCACTCAAGATTAGATACTGTTGATACAGATTAAAATTAATATAGGGAATAGCATCAGTTTGTGTTTGCTTTGTGGAAATTCTTAAAAATACATAATGAATCAAAGATAGATTAATGGATGAATATTGGTTTATAATTTTATGTGTATAAAAATTTCCCCGCCCTTCCCAAGTAAATAACTTGGGGTTTGTCCAAAATGTCATACACCAGGAGAGTTTGTTTGAGGTATTTTCATTTTATTTAATGGCTGAAGGGGATTTGATAACCTTTAATATGTTCTATGGTTACACACTACTCATGTCTTTGTTAAGAAGATACCAATTTCATCACTTAACCGCACTTAAGGGAGCATATGTAAATCTTCACATTTGCACAATATATGTTGCATTTTAAAAATTTTACCTATATATATTGGTTAACTGAAATATAATGGAAATGTTTCCAGTATATTAACATTCAGTGCTATTACTTACCAGAACCTGATCTTCTCTAGCAGCTATACTTACCTTCTTTAATATCAAACCACATTACTCTGTATTTAAAATCAGTTGACCTATAAAACTGCACACAAAAACATTATTACTAGGAAAATACTACTTTTTTCTAGCTGTAAGGTATAGCTCAATGTGTATATGACATTTTGTGTAGATTGATTTAACAATAATTTGTACATGCTACTGAGGAATTTTAATTTGGTTTTAATAGTTTATTGCTCATGAATCTTTAATTATGAAGAAACTGTATAGTAATTTAAGCATAAACTAGTTGAACGTGTAAATTGGGACACCACAAAGCATATGGTAGGATACACAAGTATTTGAGTGTAGAAATGTGTTGGTATATTTTCTAATGACAAGTGTCTTATTTCACCTATTAAGGCATCACATTCTTATACTAGTTACACAATTCATTCAGATGTGTGTGTTGCTTTATTGGTTGTTGAATCATGGCAGGTTTGTTATGCCTCACTTTCCTGTGGCAATCAATGCCCACTAGAATTCTTTCGGTGTGCTCAAAGATGACATTTAATATTTATATTTCAGAGGAAATCAATGGGCAAACACTGGTGAAATTGTAATTTACTTAGCAAACAGCTAGGTCGTGTATTGATCAATCTTGTTGTGTGCCTGTCTCATCCAAGGTATCTTGGAATCCGCTGGTGTTGTTTATAAAGACTCATTGATTTAAACATGACAGGTTTTCCCCCCATTTACCTTAGGCAGACATAATGCAGAGTGAGTGGTTATAGTAAATTAATATTCATATAAATGACCTCTTTGACCACCTGTGTTAAGTTCTGTGGCATGAGTGGAGTGCTTAGTATCTCATTTTAATGTAAGTACTTTCGTTCTGTTGTCTTGTAAGCTATCAGTCTAGATGGTGTGCCATTCATCTTAAGTAAATCCTACAATATAAGCAGGTAGGACATGTCATTGGCTATTTTTCTTATTGACATTTTTGTAGTTGTGGCGGAAAGTGTTCTCTTTGTAAGCTTATGACTTCTTAATTTATTGTTGCACTAAATCTTTACTGGTTATAAATAGCTTCTGGTTCGCATGAATAGGTCACACTCATTAACTATTGTTAAATCCAATGTGTTTTACACTACCCGATAAAGCCTAGCCCTAACACTCTCCATGAAAGCTTGAAAAAAAGCTTTAAAAATCTATATTATTGTTATATTTTTACAATATAATTGTGAGTATGGAAGTACTAGACTTCATTGCACACTGCAGTTTATGTTTCATGTGACATTGTGGATTCTTTCATTTTTTCAGCTATGAAATATCTGATATAAAAATGAGACTCTCTTCACTTTTACTTTATGTTCTATAATTAGTAGCTGGTGCAGTTGAGCTTTATAAAGAGAATTCAAAATGTATGACATTATTTACCAAACAAGATAAATCTGTTACCTCCTCCTGATTAAGAAATCACTTGTAGCCATACTTATAAGACCACCTGATTCCGAATAGACAGATCTACATATACAAAATTATGTGCTTTTAAGATTTAATAAATAGATCAAGTACATTAAAATAATATTTAAACATTCCTTTTACATTGATGTACAATTTAGAACTACCCACCTAGGCATACATATGTCTTATACAAATTAAAATAATTTATTGTAAATTTCCTGTTAACAAAAACCGAGTGGATATGTCTCATTAACAAAAACCTAGTGGATATGTCTCATTAACAAAAACCTAGTGGATATGTCTTATTGCAAATAGTAGGTGGAAACCGCTATTTATTGTTTTAGAAATTAATATTGAATTATGGCAGCAATGGTTTAAATTTAAATGTATATGATTTTGTGAAGTCTTGCATTTGTCGATATCCCTTGCACCCAGAAAAAAAATATCCTTATTGGACCAAAAACATTTAACCCTTATGACATACTTTTAGCAGTGACAAGGATTACCCAGTAAAGCATATCATACTTGATACCTGTTCGGTTTATCCTTACTTTGTACAGTTTTTATACGTTTGTCGAGGTTTATGGCCGTAATGCTTATTTTGGTACAGATTTTCACTGGATTTAGAAAAAAAAATGTTTTGTACAAGACACGAGGTCAAAACTGGTATAGCAATAAATTCAAAGTTGAACAAGCTTTTCTTTGATATCATTCGTTAAAAACCAAGGCAGGGTCATACAATAATAACTACGAGTTGTAAGACATATTTAAAAATCCGTTTTTGCAATTCTAATTTAAAAAAAACCCTGAAATGTTAGTAAGTGCTCTTTTAATATCAATCAATGACACGCATTGTTCCAATTTATTTCAACGGTACGGCCTAATGCCTCTGATTTCAACACTCTTGGAACGCTGCTTCCTGCGGTAGGAAAAAAATGATATTGGAATCTGCAAAGGAAGCCAGAAAAGAGTTCAATGGTCTGTACATTTTTCTAAAGACATCTGAACTATTTTGAAAAGACAAAAGGTTGGACGGACAAAGTTCTAGATCTATCTAATAGTAATATATAACATTTGACGATTTGTATAATATAATATTGTAAATAATCCATTTGACGATTTGACAATGGAGGAAATGATTATTACATTATTACGGTAGTTTAATTGAAACAGTTTTTCAAACTTTTTTTAAAATTCACTGACTACTTGCATAATGTCTTCAGGGCACACAACCACTTGATTTGCTAACAACACATTTAACATAAGAGTTGGCTGCTAGAAGACATTCACTGTTTAGGTCATCATAAGTTTTAAGTTTCAACGCAGTTTTGATGATTCTGATAGAGAAGTTTTTTTAATCATACGCGTACACATTCACATTATAAAGACATGGATGAACTGAACCGTACTGAACCCCTCTAAAGTCTAAAGTACGTATTTGGCATTTATATAATTTGGTTCTGACAACGCTTTGATAACGACTAATAGTAATAGTAATTCTGCTGATGGATATAAAATCGTATTGATAGTTTCTATTAGCATTATCATAGATGGTCATGCTTTGTCAACTTTATGAAGATATCCATTTTTGACTTGGTGGTGATGATATCCATTTGTCCATTATATCACTGTCCAATACTGATGATTATTTACTTGGCTGTACATGGCTGCGGTTTACCGGTAAAAAGATGTTTCCAATGAACTGCTGTCCAAAAATTTCAATATGGCGCATTTACCCGTGGACCCGTTGTTAACGTGGTCTACAGCTTTCAACATGGCCGCCAATGAACGGACAATCACAACTTGCACGAGTCGATAGACACTGCCCTGCATCCGCCATTGCTGGTCCCTGAATTAGCCCCGAAGCCCAGATTCGTGCAAAATGGCCGTCCAGAACACTACACCGCCAGTATGAAAAGCTTTTTCATAGAACGTGGAGTATTGATTTTTCCTTCAATTCCCCCCCCCCCTCCCTCCCCCCCTTCCCTCCCCGGTCTCTCCCTTCGTTCTATTCTGTAATTTTGAATACATGATCAGGTTGAATAGAAGCTAAAGAGGAAAAGAGAAGCACAGAAGGAGTAACCGGATTCAGCCAGCTAAGAGTTTGCTTGTCTAGCTTGTTAGAGNCCCTTTCCCCCCTCAATCCCTCCGATCCCCCCCCGCCTATTCTTCCCCCCCCCCCCCCAGAAGAAACACGCTGGCAGGCCATAGTGAGCGATCGACGTGGGAAGTTACAGGCTAATGACTGTGAGGGGGTGGGGAGGTCCGGGTCGGAGGCCTGGTGGAAAACGAAATCAGTGTTCGGTTCATAAGTTAGGAGTGGGGATGAGGCTGTGGTAGGGGAGATTTGTGGTAGTGCTGGGGAGGGCCTAGCTTCTCACTGCGACGTCTTCTTACAAACCCCCCTCCCAACGCTTTCCCATTACAACAGCATAGCCAGGCGACGGTCAGACAGGAAAGGCATAATTAGGTGGTCACCATGACAACGTGTGATTAATGGGTGGTTTTCACTCACCTCCACCACCATTCTTTTCATAATTTATTTTTTAAAAGTGTTTTTAACAAGTATACTTACTCCTGAATTTGCGCCTAGCAAAAAGTACCTTTGATCACAAAAAAATTCAACGTAACTGGCTGAAGAAGTGTGAGGGGAAAGAGCTTTGAAACTTGTAATGCTCACATGTTATACAAGTAAAACTTAAATGTGTATTTCCGAATGCGACTGGCTGGATAAATGTAAAAGAGGGTGTCGGTAGCTTGAATGTTAAATTCAATCCTGTGATCAGCTCTCGTCGTTCATTGTGATTGCTTGTTGTAAGCGCTTGTTGTGTAAGGCAAGCCCAGACCGATACCTTTCCCCTCATACCAAACGCTTGGCTTCTCTCGCATGCCTTACCCTTTCGTTTAGACTGCTTTGCCTACCGTATCTCAATTGATTGGGCGGGCCGGGCTAGTGGAGGGCACAACATGTGAGGATGAGTCATGCCACACATTCACTATACCAGAGGCCTGTTCGAGCTTAAAGCAGAATGCTATCTGACCTGTGCACTTATTGTCTGGCTTGGAGCGGAAGCGTACCATCTCCTTAACCAAATAACGATAACTTAACATACATTTGAATAAGTTGATACTAAATAGCATGTGTCAACGTGACAGCGGTCCCTCTGTTTATTTGACCTGGTTGTTCTTTACAACACTCTTTAAACACATTTTACGGGTTTGTTTTTTTGCTCAGTTACTCTTAGGGTAGCTTAATAAAGTGACTTTCAAAAGTTTTTTCTCAATAGGTCACTTCGAAAAGCTTTTATTGGGTACTATTAGTGCGCTCTTTCATCGCTTGTAATTTCCGATGTGTTATTGTTGGCTGTCTTCCCATGTGTTGTACAGTTTTAAAAAGTACAGTCAGTCCTTGTACTGTACCATGTAATGTTTGTGCGGCTGCTATCTTAGGCTGTTAACTGGTGAACGTCGCCTTATCCAGTATCGTGTTCAGAGAAGGGCTGAAGGAGGTCGGTCGAGTGGAGAGGCGAGGGTCATTGTGCTTGCTCTTACTAGAGCCCTGTGCTTAGTTTTAGTAGCACGGTATAGCGTTTGCCTGGCGACCGCCCGAACGGATGACTAGTTCGAATGCCTGAAGTGGCGTGTAAACGTCATCCTCTTATCCCGGCAGTGGTCATGTTTACGCTTGGGGGGGGGGGGGGCCCCACCCACACACTCTTCTCACTCCACAAGCATAATGGCTTGTGTGTTCCCGTCGTCCTTGTACCAGTTACAGCAGCCTGAAAACAGCAAGTCATGCCCTGAGTGAATGCCTGCCTTAGACGGAGTTGTTTTTACTATCTCACACTGAGCGGGAAAGTCAAATAATTAGAATGTCGTTATATTTTTAAGGCATGGCACATTTTCACAGAGGTCAGGATAAAACTATAGTTCAGTAATCCATTTTAAAAAAAAATTGTGTTCCGTTTGCCACAGAGGGCCGGATAACAGACACAATTACGTGCGCGGGCCGAATAATCCTTCTGTACAATGCTTGCAAGCCAGAAAGAAAGCTCTGGGGGAAAAAGACGAAAAACAAAGTTTAGTATTCCATGTACGAGTGTCGTGCAATGCACAAAACTCTCAATTCTGTCAAGAACTAAAAATCTCTCCAGGCGGAGCTACCACGTGCCGGGGAAGAACTTGGGATGGCGCGAAATAAGCAAACATTACACAAAACTATTAACAAGAAAATCTAGATAAAATATTGAAAATTGTAAATTTAAGGCGCACAGCCTCCAGGAGGTCTCCGCACGTGTCAAGATCTCCTAGTATTCTAAACATGATATTTAAATTGTATCACAACGTCTTGTGTTCCATGTGTTTTATCAATCAAATTCAAGTACCGTCGGCGGGCCTTAGGAACTGACGTGGTGGAGCGTCGTTTGGTGACCCCTGGTCTATGGCTCGGGAATACCTAGGCCTATTCTTTCAAGTATAAAAAAATCGTAATCACGGCTTATTAGCTAGTCAGGTGAATAAGCAAATAACACATATCTTGAGCCCTTTATAATAGATTTGGTGCGTGTATCATATATTTTGTGCTCGGATATCAGCATCATTACTGAAATGTGAGCGGGTCATTACATTCCTCACATAGGATAAGGAACGAAAGCTCTACATCAGGGGTCTGCAACCTACATGGCACTCTGACCGATCTTCAGTTGCACCGGGAAGACAAAACTAATTAATCACTAAATATGCGCCTTTTTAAGGTTGTTGGCACGCCATACAAATTGTAAATCTATTTTGGCACAATATTACTAAAAGATTGCAGACTCCTGCTCTAGTGCATTATTATTATGTAAGGAGTAGAGGAGTGGTTCTTAAACCATCACCGATTTCGCTCTTTGATTTCAAACTTTTCCCACACCCCATCTCATTTTCACAACATTTCCCGCACACCCCGCCCCAAGAGATTAAAAAAAATATAATAAAATGCAAATAAACCTGATTTTTCTGGATCTTCTCGCCACCCACTGTCACTGCCCCTCTCCTCCAATAGGCGGCGGCACCCCTGTTAAAAAGGTGTCCAAGGGCGAATCATTACTAGATTAGATGTCTTAACTCACTACAATGGAACATAATATATTTATTAAGATGTGTAATGTTCTCCTGGTTCGCAAAAAATAAAGGCAAAAACTGTCGAAAAGTTTTAAATAGGACGAACCGCTATACTCCTATCGTGTGAGTAGATTTTGTCTGAAGCGCGACTCGTCCCAATCCCCCAAGGAAAATCGATGAAACTGACATCAGCAACCAAAATACCGAAACATTTCCTTCTTTCCTGGCATCACGTGGAAGCCTTTAAACCGGCAGTAAACATATCAATCCAACGTTTTCATTCATTCCCTTTGGTCCTTTGCGTTTATTTTGTTGTCAATCCTAAACATGCAGATGTGCCTTACACCAGCTTGTCTCATCTACCGAGAAAAAAAACACATAAATACACGAAATCTATGCGTACTGTTAAACATTTGAATGTGCGTAATATTGCTTTATAATTCCACATTTATTACCACCAGCTACCACCACCTTATGCAACTTGTGATTTTTCAGCCAACGGTATTTTTAATGCAATTTTTTTGTTTTGGTAGCTTGGTGGAATATCCGGAAAATGACGCGAAAATATCTGCATGCAGAGACAACCACCTCATTTTTATCGAAACCCCCCCCCCCCCTCCCCTATTTCTTTTTTTTAAAACCCCCCCCCCCCCCTCCTCTATTTCTTGTCTTTACAGTACAGGCACACGCCGTATTTTCTCTACTTACCACTGGTACCGTCCCGTTTTTCTAAGTTTAGAAGAGTGAAAACTTTAAATAAATAGCCAGCCCCAATATTCAGACCGGGTGGGGAGTTACAGACTTGACTGCGAGGGGGTGGGGAGGAAATTGCCTTGATGTCTTCCTAACTAGACATGTTTAAAAAAATATGGAGCTGTCTAATTTTAGCATGTTCCAGGAGAATGCAATGTATAAGCAGCATCGAATGTGCATTAGACACCCATAATACTAAGACTTAACATTATATACCTTTCTCAACTCGCCTCGCGCCACTGTTCAATTAGGTCAGGCTCTCATCATATCTATCCCACAACCAACGCATGGGATTATTATCTAGGGAAGTATTTTCTCCACATCATGGTGATTTAATTTTGGGTTTCATCTCATCTGATGTACTATTTATTTAAACCAGTTATAGTACTTGAATTCTGGATTAAAACAAAATATCCGTCTTACTAACATTAAAAAAAAAAAGAGAGAGTTGCACAGCATTATAAACAGTTTCTAATAACTAGTAAAATAACTACATTCTTCTATTATTTAAATTGAAATACAAGGATAATAATAGAACTTTAAAAAAAACTTTTGGCTTAACATGAAGTAAAATGATCAGGAAGAAATTTTGAGAGAAATTAAGTGCTCTGAATATGAAAAACTTTTTACTCATTATCATTTTTTTTGCCATTGTATTTTTTTTTAGGTACGGAAAGATTCAAAGTGTCAAACTTCAGGCAGCCAAAGACAATGACTCGGGCAGCACTGCAACGGTGGCCTTCAACGATATCAAATCAGCTGCCAAAGCCCATCATGCCAAAAACAGCTTGGGAGAGGTGACATTGAGAACTGACTACTGGGAAGGCTCCACCAGCACCCCAGTTATAGCGCCGGCACCTGTGGCTACTTCTAACGCTGTCCGCAGTGCCATCTACACTACTGTTGTTACAACAGCCCCAACCAGGCCTGTGTCAGCATTCCCCAACTGGACTAAAGGGTGAGAACATGCTCTGTAATAATAACATGTATAGATACTAGATACTTTCATTTTCAAACCCATAATCTCCTGTTCTCCCAAAGCTTTGCTTATGTGTGGTAGTTTATCTGTTTAGTCGAGATTACACACTTAGTTCCTATGTGGTAGATGCAGAAAAGGCAGTTTGATCCATCCTGCTCATATGGGCTTTTTATTGATATAGTCAAATATCCTTTCCTGGTGTGATAGGATGGGGTAATTACTCTAAGTCATGATACTCTGATGAGCATGAGGAGTTGTAAGGATATGTCAGGGATACACAATTTTCTCCCTGCAACAACTAAAACATATATTTTAAAAAATATTTTAAATACAATAATGTGTATGTAAATCCCAAGCTTTCAGAACAAATCAATACAAGATAATAGAACACAAAATTTGTAAATGGTCTCCTTCCAATGCAGCCACAATTTTCAACCAGTGTGTCTATGGGTCATAGGCATCCCAAGTTTTTTAACATGAATTAATAATTTGATTCTAAAAATGTGTGGGTGTGTCATTTTACCAGCAAAGTGTAGGGTTACTTGAGGTAAGAAGGCACATGTAATACAATCGTCTAATACAAATATTTTTTCACCATGATACTGGGTTGTAAGGATTATAATAATATGAATATTTTTGCAATGATGATTTAAATGAAAACAGCTTCTATAAATGTTTGTATAATCACCAACCACAGCAGCCAGTATATATACACTCCACATGTTGCCTATTAGACCTTGCATTTTTTACCAAAATAATCAGGGAGTAAGAACCAACAAAAGCACTGAAACTTCACTGAGTATGATTGCAAACTTAGCCGCCTTCATGCTTCCTTAAAATCTGTCCTGTTTTGCTCTAGTTTGCACATACCAGGCTAACTGGTTTGTTTTATTTACTCACATACTGATTTTGAATATATTTTGTAATGACAGCTCCTACAGTTTTGTTTTTTCAGGGTTGGTTTATTAGTTAGCTCCATTTTTCTTCTTCTTTTGGATTATTAGTTTCCTGCAACTTGACTGGAAATTGCTAATTTGGTGTAGACCTTTTGGTTTTTATTTAATTTTATTTTTGTGTTTTCCTGGAGTTCATTTTGGGATTTCCTTTTCCCACTATCAAACTGGAGTATATTTACAACAGACCAAGATCTTGTGGAATACACCCTCATAATCAGCCTAAATGGATAACAAATTTTGGATACCTACATTCCTGTTGGATTATATACATTTGGAGTACATACGTTTGTTACCTCTTGGATATATGTCTGGGATACCTAAACTGGAGTACAATAAAATAAATTGAAAAGCTACCTCTGTGGATTAATGGATATAACACATTTAAATAACATAAGGCTTGATGACCCCTGTGGATAACTGTTGGTGTATTTGAGTGTTTGAAAATGGATACCAATGTTACATGTCTTTCTCAGACTAAATCGGTGGATGCCAATTTTCTTTGTGAATGTTGTTGGTAAAGCTTAGTTGATTCATGTTTAAAGGTTATTTTAGTTTATAGTTGTTCTATAATTTGAAGAATTACTTATCTGTCTTATTATGTAATTATTTTTTGGGTTCAGCACTTTTTAGGTTTAAAAAAAGAGTACATATTCTTAGAAATTCAAATATAATAAATAAATATATATATATATATATATATATATATATATATATATACATATATATATATATATATATATATATAGAGAATATATATATAAAATATAAATATAAAAAAAAAACACACTTTCAGCACTTTTTATGTTTAAAAAAAGAGTACATATTCTTAGAAATTCAAATATAATAAATAAATATATATATATATATATATATATATATATATATACACATATATATATATATACATATATATAAAGAGTATAAATGTAACATTTGAATTTCAACAAAAACCACACTAGCAATGCCCATAATAGGTCACGTAAAAATACATTAGAAGTTATGAAATCAATTACAGTAAGAATGTTCTAGATGCTGCTGTTAATGGTAGCTCTGATGACAGAAGTAGCCCTTAAGGTTATTTAAAAAGAAATGGGTTTAAAAATTTTTTTTGTAAAGAATTTTTGTCTTCAAGTCCAAGTATCATTTTAAAATATATTTTCACTGGGATACTCAAGGTTGTTAAAGACTAATTAGAACCTACATGAAAAGTGTTTCCAATTATTTTAAATAAGTGTTGAAAATTAAATACCATGCTCTGTTACAAATAGAATTTTGATTATATTAGAATTTGAGCTGGTAACAAGGGATATGTTTTAGAGCTTAATGATGCACATTTTTGTGTGTCCTTAACCAGGCAAACACCTATGCAGTATGACATGTTAGTGGGACATGCTTTCATCAATAAATGTCACTTAGCAGGGTATTCTCAAAACTATTTACAAGTGACTCAAATTTGAACTAAGTCCCGTCTAAAAAAATATTTTCGGTTTTCAGTTGATTAAAATACCCTTTATTTACTAGCAGCTGTAGAGACTTTACTTTTTGCTCCTCTGCAAAGCACGCACATAATCAGTAATTAAAAGTATATTATTGAACTGTTAAAACAGGCAGGACTAATCTCCATTTTCATTTTAAGAATATTATTTGTAAATGAAATCCTAGTTTACTTTATTTGTTTCTAAAAGAGAACTTTTCTAAGTAAAATATTGTCACTACTTATTTTACTTGAAATGTGGAACCATTCTCTTCATTATTAAGTATAAAATGGTTCCACATTTCTAGCACACTATTATTCCTTAACAACCTTATTCACTGGTGTATATGGATTTATTGAAACTTGTTATTTACCTTCTGTATTTTGTTAACCATTCAGCCTTCTACTGTAATCATCAGATGATACCTCTGAAGCTCGTTTATAACCAGTATTGAAACCATTGTCAATGTCTTAACAGTTTGATCTCACAACTAACTATCTCTTTGTTTAGAGCAGTGAATTTCTTTCCCATGAATTTCTGACCGATACGCTTGTTCTTTCAAAGTTTGATGTATAACATCCAAATCTTGAATCACAACAATCTATGCAATGCGTCTTAAAATCATTGACTTGAGTTTACAGTCACATACCCGTATACCCAAATATAATATTTTTATTTTGCAGTCATCACTTTGTTCCAAGCAATTAGAACAGGGATTTTGTTACTTTTAAAAAAAAAAATTTCATGGGCCCAGTCAGTCAGATGAAGAAGGACCCGTATCTTTGAATAAAGTTTTTAAATGCACAAAATCAATTTACAGATAAAATGCAGCTCGCGGACCCTCTGACACATTTTCTACGGCTCCTCAAGGGGGTCCTTGGACAACTGATTAAGATCCCCCCCCCCTTTTTTTTTAGAGCATAACTGTCTTGGTATGTTAAAGTACACATTGCGATGGGTTAAAGATTGTATCCGTAACAACGTAAGTGTGACACGTTTGTGTAATTTGACCCATTGAGACCAACACAAACGACAAGAACTCTCGTTGGAGAATTCAATAGTCGTGTTGTACCTTGTTGCCATGTGGCTTACAGGAAGTGCGCCGACTTTTGCATAAAGGTCAAAGAAATACAAAAGTTCAGGGCTAGTAAATGCATACACCAATAATGTGAATGTTGGTTGATTTTATTGTGCGTATACCTAATACACGTGCATCTCGTTGCTCCGATGCTTCATTACTGAAAAGTGTAATTGCTTGACAGCTGAAGTTTGTTGTGTGTAAAGAAACATAAAAGTTCAGGGCTAGTAAGTAAATGCATATGTAAATAGTGTGAATGTTGGTTGTTTTCACTGTCTATACACCTAATACACGTGCATCTCATTGCTCCGATGCGTCATTAGTGAAAAGTGTAATTGCTTGGCAGCTAAAGTTTGTCGTGTGTTCAGGCATGTGACAAACAAGAAATGAACACTAAATCCAAAACACTATTGTTTTCGGACAAAGCTTAAATTTAAACGTGAATGAATTTAACCATGGCCGGGTATTTTTTATATTATTATTATCCGTTTAATCTTTCATGGGACTATTCGCGGGTAGCATTGTAAAAAGCAAAGACGTGTGAAACGGAACAATGAAATTATAGCATTAAAATTCTAATCCTTAACATTGATTTGGCCCTGTGACGTTCAGTCATTAATGGAAAATGGAAATGTTTTTTTTTTTAAAAGCAATCTGGCCCATGGTACGTTTCTTTGAATAATATTTCAAGCTGACAACCATTATTATGGGACGCACTGTGTAGCAGGCTGAAAGCAACCATTGTTGCTGTGGTGCCGTGCACGTGTTGCTTTGAATACTAACCTAATTAACCAACTCCAGAATATGACATAGATTTGATCCAATGTTGCTTTAGCTTTTTATTAAAATCTTAAAGGAATTATCAACGATTACATAAGAAGTATACATATTTTCTAGCAATAAAAACATATTAATCTGGCAGTATTTAAGTTCAGAATGTTCCATATTACAGTTAAGCACCGCCATTTTTTACAATAAGAAATGAAAACGGTTAGTCCTGATACATTTACTAACTTAAGGTGTTCGTTTTAAAGTGTGTAATCACGTTCTACTTTATGTAGCACACGAAAGTTATTTGCGACCACTTAATTCTTTCAGGAGTCTTGCAGATAGGCTATCGTTTGGGGAAAGTGGCCAAAATTTGAGCCCTGCCCGACCCCCACGTCACAAAGAAAGGCTAAGAAAGTAGGGAGGAGAGTTGCGTAATGGAAGGTTAACATATTATTATGATGTCTCAGGACAACGGAAACATGTTTAATGCGGTTATCGCCATACTTAGTTGGGGGTTATGGGTCTTTTGGGTAAAAAATGAGTTAAAACTTACTGTAATCAGTTAAACACAAAATCCTATTTAATGGGTTCATATGAAGTAACGACCACAGCCTTTAAACGATTACTTGATAGCACGAAGAGGCTTGTACACGTTTAATCCCCTGTGTTACCGAAGCCCGGGCTTCTTTGGATGTTTGTGACAGGTATTATGGAAGTACTTTTTACAGAGCTGTCATTGATGACACCTCAGTGGGGCTTCCAATTATATAGCAATCAGTGGATGATTTGCAGTTGTTTGTTTTGGTTAATGTGAAGCTTAGGCTAATGGAAATACTGAGCCCATTTAAAAGTATTCTATCGCGGGAATTGAAAAGTCTTATTACGGGACACCCGTTAGTGCCTTTTGTAACTTAACGTCATCGAAATACCGGAATTTGTTGTTACCCCGAACTGTGGCAAAGATAAGGAAAGTGCGCCATTTCTAATTTCTTGAGCAGTATCGTTCTGTGTGGAGCGTTGATGTTAAAAGTTGATGAGGTTGAAAAATGTAGTCAAGTGAGAATACTTGACAATACTTTGCCCGAGTTTTAATTATTTCATCGTGTGTGATTGTTTTTGTGTGTGTGTGGTGTGTGTGTGTGTGGGGGGGGGGGAATAATCTTAACTTTTTTTCTCTCACATTGATTGTCAATTTCTGTTACAAAGTATTTTCGTTAATCATCAAAGACTTACGAGTAATTATATTTAATAACAGGGCCGAAATATGAAATCTCCGTTAATCTTAGTTAATGCCTCTAAATGAATTATTATGTCCATTCCATCTCTTGTCCACGAGAACGATCAATCAGCTCTGCAGTCTACGCCCAACACTATTGGGCGATCGCCGTATCAGGCTTTGCGCATGTTCTGGAAAGAAACATAACGGATTCCAGTCAGTGAACAGGTGTGAATTTCCGCGGCAGCTAGGAAAGAGCAAGTATGTTATAGTCAATCTCGTTAAAAATGTATCGGACTGACGTAATCAGCCCCTAGTATTATAACAACATAGGCCACCGGCCATAGACCAAAGAGAAGACCAATCGATGCTCGATAAGGAAAGAAAGAAAAGGCCAGGGGTGGGAGGCGAATCACGTGACATTTTTGTGCCCGTAAACAAGTTTGAAAATCGATGGTCGCCATGATTAGATTCCCCAGGGTCGATGTTGTTGTAAAAGTGAGAGTGTTGGAGAGTGTTGCTCGAAGCTGCATGCAATGTAAGATTAGGGTTATTTCATTTTATCACATTTTCTAAAAAGTAGTTTGCGGCGACTGGCTTCTGTCAAACACTAGATAAGTAGAAAGTATAAAAAAGAAATACTCATTTTTTTTCTTTAATTAATCGTAGACCAAGCATTTGGAAACTTTTGGGTCTAAGGCTGGGGTCTCAAACTCGTGGCCCGCGGGCCATTTGCCCCCCGCAAGACGATATTTTGCGGCCCGATGCCTGACAGCATAGTTTAGTGTAAATGCGGCCCGCACGTTGTCCCCATTCTCATATCTATAATGTGACCCTCTAATGTGATCTCACCAACTAGTCTAATTCTGATTTTATTAAGTTGGTATAGGTTTGGACGTTGATTATAATAGTAAAAACCGTTTTAAAATTGGAATAAAAGTTATTTTATAGCAAAAGTTATATTATGAGATAAATATGGCCAAATTGCGGTTGTGAGAAAAGTTTAAACAGTAATTAATGCACAACCATAATTGTATTAATCGTAGCAATCTGACACAGTATTAAAGAATCCCTAATAAAATTGCCGATAGTTGTACGAGTGAGTGAAATTCCGAGCCTGTCAGCTTGGTCACTTTCCAAATAGGGTTATTCAAAAAGTCCTTTTCTACGATAGAAAAATCATTCTCCTTACAATAGCATTTTCCTTCGTATCAATAATTCATAAATATTGCCTGCTCCTGCCTACTGTTTGAACACGTCTTAGCCTTCAAAGCCTTCACGGGAAGAATGGGGTGGTTGTTACTGTGCCAAGTGATCCTAAATGGCTCATGGACTTGGCTGTTTTGTTGACATTACACAGGAGCTGAATGTACCCAACAAGAAGATACAAGACCAGGGGCAGCTTGTCAGTGTGCCTATGACAATGTCAAGGCGCCCATGACAATGTCAGGGCATTCTGCACAAAACGTGTGTTATACTTCTCAGAGAAACCTCTGCCATTTCCTAATATGCCAAGTACTCATTGACTTGGGCACACCATTCAGCAGTAAGTATACTGATGCCATTGCAAAGCTACAGGAAGAATTTGAGAACATGTTCGCAGAATTCAAAACACACGCGTCACTTTTCAATTTTTTGCTGACCCTTTCTCTCTCAATGTGGAATATGCCCCCATCCCTCTGCTTTTCTGCGCTTCAAATGGAGCTGATTCATCTTCAGTGCAATTCTGAATTCAAGGCTAATTTCCGGGAGTTGAATGGAAAAACGGACAAGCATGGAGAATTTATGAGAGCTTTGCCCTCCACCTTCCCTGAGATTTCCAGGCTGTTCAAGCGGATCATGTGCCTTTTTGGAAGTACATATCTGTGTAAACAGCTCTTTTCCACTATAAACTTTAACAAGTCAAAGTTCAGGGCACAACGTACTGATGAGCATCTTCAAGCTAAACTGAGGGTCTCAGTTGCTTACTCACGCAAGCCAAATGTTTCTCAGCTGTGTGAGAAGAATGCTTCCAGGTCTCTGGCAGCAAGGAATAGGAAGAAGAAAGTTAAGCCCAGTTCTTGAGAACCCTTAATATTTTTACGTGTTATTGATAAAGGTTGAGCAGAAGGAAACAGTTGTACTTTATTGACTTTGTAATCGCCTTTTTTGTGTGTGGAATATTCGATGCGGCCCAGTCTCACCCAGACTCTACCTCCTGCGATCCCCGGATGATTTCAGTTTGTAACCCCTGGTCTAAGGTCAGAAATGACGTCAGATTAAATATTTGTTGGCCAGGCTGACTCCAGATAAAAAGAAAGGTGCATTCTAGATCAGTGCTCCGCAACCGTTTTCCTACCACGGAACACTTAGGCTGTTCCCAGTATTTCGCGGCACACCGCAAGCAAAAACTAATTATTTAATTCGTTTTTATTTTTTAACTGTTTTTTTTTTTTGTTTTCTTGATACTTTGACGTACGGGGGGGGGTGAGGTAAACATTAAAAAAAAATAGCTTGACATATTTATAAACGGCCTCTGTGGCATTTGACAGATCTTAGGCTGTTCCCAGTATTTCGCGGCACACCGCAAGTAAAAACTAATTATTTAATTCGTTTTTATTTTTTAACTGTTTTTTTTTTTTTGTTTGCTTGATACTTTGACGTACGGGGGAGGGGGTGGTAAACATTAAAAAAAAATAGCGTGACGTATTTATAGACGGCCTCTGTGGCATTTGACAGATCAGCTAATTACTGTTACAATTAACAACGTGTTCTTATTAAATAGCTGACCTCACAATAAACTCTTGGTTTTTCTCCACTTGACGCTCTAATACCGCGACACACCGGTTGCGGAGCTCGGTACTAGATGAAGGCAAAAATCATTTATATTAGCATAGGGTTTCCCAACCTTTTTTATATTCTGTATCCATTACAAAATTGTGTGACTAAGTCTCGTACCCGTTGCACTGGGCTTCCCCAACCAACCCGCCTGGCTGCCGTACGGTACGGTTACCGGAAATTTGATGGAAAGAAATTTCGTCGACAGTGAATTGATCGACGGTAATTTGATCGAACGGAAATTTGGTCGAATCTTTTTTTCCGTTCGCACGTTGAAATTTTCGTCAAATTTCTTTTTGAACGCACTATACTATTTAGTAAAACAAAATAATTCGTTCAAAAAGAAATTTGATGCAAAATTGTCACGTAAAAATTGAAAAGAAGATTCGACCAAATTTCCGTTCGATCATATTACCGTCGACCAATTTACCGTCGACAAAATTTCTTTCGATCAAATTTCCGGATACGGTACGGTACACGGTAGCAGTGATAAATACAAAACTGTACATTGATTATATCATTAGCCAACAGCTGGCCGGCACATACTTCCCATTCAAATGGTAAAACGTTTACGTTTTTTTAAAAATTGCTCTTCATCTTAAGTGTTGCATTGTTTTTTCCTCACTTTTTTTTCTTTCTTTTTTTCCCTTCTTTTCTTCCCCTTCTTTTTTTTTCTTCTCTTTTCCCCCACTAGAAATAAGATATGTGCAGTGTGCATAGGAAATCAAAATTATAGTCCGGCCCACAACAGTGAACCCTACCCCTGTTTTAAAGGTTTGAGGATCTCTTGCTACACACACACACACACACAGTCACTCGCACACACACAAAACCCAATACATTTTAAAATTGGGGAAAAGTTCTTCAATTTTTCAAATAAAATTACAAAGTTAACAGGAGAAATTTGAAATACCGTGACTTATAAAATACGTTGGTAAGATGTTAATGTTGAATAAACAAATTATAAAATAAAAATTTGTAAAATAAGTTGAATGACAATGCCTCCTCTTTTTGTAAAGTTTCCATCTCAATAGAAAATACTTAAAGTTATACGCTTGAGCTCTAGAATGTCTTACTTTTTAGTGGCAAGTAGATTTAATATCCTTTTTCGAGACACTCGTTTTATGTTCAAATTTTTAATCGTAATCTTGTATTGAAATTTTCCGTTAAGTAAAATTTTCAATTACAATGTAGACTAAATCAAGCGTTTTGCGGTCCTTTAAATTTAATGTTTACGGCGAGCTATCACTACTAGCCACATAAACGGCTTTGAAATCAAACTCTCAAACTATTACTGAATTAAACTACAATTGATTTTTAAAAAATCACTCCCTGCAGCCTGCATAGCTGTATATTAGAAATCTGTGCATCAATCTCCTTAGAACTTATTTATTTAGAAGTGACCAGCTAAAGGTTAATGTGTTAAAAAAAAATAATAATAAAGAAACCATTTTAACCGAGTAATAAAGTGTTCCGATGTGTATTCATTGGAGAACCTTCCTCGACCCGAATAAAAACACAGGGCTGGTGGCCGAGTTTTGTCCGCGGGCCAGAGTTTGTACACGCCAGCTGTGGACAACCTATCTCGAAACTGCCGGCTTTATTATCTGTACAGACAGGCAACCACACTCGCCAACGCTGTAAAATCACCACCAACATACTTGGAGCTGCACAGTAGGGAAATCCGTTATTGATTGTTCCTCGGCCTACCCCACCCTCCTTCCTATTTTCCTTTAGACTCGACTTGGTGGATTGCATTGCCAAACTGGTGATATTATTGGTGTGTTGTCTCTCTCTCTCTCTCTCTCTCTCTCTCCCCCCCCCCCCCCNCCCCGTTATTTTTCTTATTTCTCCTCATTCTCCCGGGTCCGCGTTTCCCTTCCCTCGCAAGTGTTGAATACTGTTATTTAATGTTCACCACTGCTAGAGAAGTTTTCCCTCTGATCTTGATGGCATTCCATGCCATGAGTTTTAATGTATTCTCTAAGGCTAAACGAAAGGGAATGTATGGTGCAAACGACGACTTAAGTCGCCATTGTTGTTTTACTTGTAATAATTTTATAATTGGGAAATCTAGGCAATATTGGCAAATAGTACGTTGTTGTATATGGAGAGATATTAACTTAAATTTATATTTCATTAGACCATATCTACCAGATGTGAAACGGGATTGAGGCCATAAAGTTAGTCCAGAACAAGCTGTAGTATCAGAAAGCTGTACGCTTTGTTTCATGTTATTTTTATTTCCTCGCCTCATGTCTGAATATTGTGGGTATCGATCATCGTGTATTAAGCTTAATTCTTAACAGTGAAGTATCTTTTTTTCCTCTTCTATATATTAAGGGCCCACGATCAATTTATTGAACATTCTGGCTCCTATGCATGTAGATGGGGACTTGCAATGTTTTCGTGTCTGGTGTTGACGAGGATATTTCACTGGTTGCAAGGGCTACTCTGTGATGGTAGGGCTGGAAGGCCTGAGGCAATAGACGCAAATGTGTCAAGTGTCGTCACCTCAATTGTTCTTTTTATTCTTGGCTAGTTGGGAACACTAATCATTTTGAAATAAGCCATAACAACACTTAATGTCATCTTAGATTTATAGTTATGCCAATTAGCTATGACTGTTGATCAGGTCCTCAAGGTTTTGATTCCAAAAGCCAGTGCAAGGTTGTTACGTTTTTTCATCAAACTCCCAATGTATGTAGTATAGTAATAACTTACGCTTTCTTTAAAAATGGTATTCTTTGATTTAATTTTTTTATATGGCTCTCTAAGACATACAAAAAAGGCATCGAATGAATAAAGATTTTTCAGTTTCTTCTATTTTGATGTTTATCAAAGAAGGGAAACATTCAAGTGGCGCTAAATAAATGTTAATATTAAAATATAGTTTTAATTAATCGAGGCATAATTGGAAAAACTTAACGAATCCAGTAAAAATGAGGTGATTTTTATAATAACTGAACTGCTTTATGATTAAGAATGTAGAATAATGAACACTTTCAGTACTATTAGTGTGTCGTAGATAATATTATCCTCGTACTAAATGTATACATTTATGCTAGAGTGCACGGCCATACTAGTCGATTGACAATGTTATAGGCATGAGCAACTTTGATCTCATATGTTAACTATTCTTATCTTATCTTATTCATTTAAATTATTTTTGAACATCATATGTGATAGTTAGACTAGGCTAACCCTAAGAATATGGTTGTAAAGTAGACTAGGCTAACCCTAAGAATATGGTTGTAAAGCAGACTAGGCCAACCTTAAGAATATGGTTATAAAGTAGACTAGGCTAACCCTAAGAATATGTTTGTAAAGTAGACTAGGCTAACGATAAGAATATGGTTGTAAAGTATTTCACTCTTCCTTAGACCAGGCTAACTGTTAGAATATGGTTGTAACGTATTTCACTCTTCCTTAGACTAGGCTAACCCTAAGAATATGGTTGTAAAGTAGACTAGGCTAACCCTAAGAATATGATAGTAAAGTATTTCACTCTTCCTTAGACTAGGCTAACCCTAAGAATATGGTTGTAAAGTAGATTAGGCTAACCCTAAGAATAAGATAGTAAAGTATTTCACTCTTCCTTAGACTAGGCTAACCCTAAGAATATGGTTGTAAAGTAGACTAGGCTAACCCTAAGAATATGGTTGGAAAGTAGACTAGGCTAACCCTAAGAATATGGTTGTAAAGTATTTCACTCTTCCTTAGACTAGGCTAACCCTAAGAATATGGTTGTAAAGTAGACTAGGCTAACCCTAAGAATATGATTGTAAAGTATTTCACTCTTCCTTAGACTAGGCTAACCCTAAGAATATGGTTGTAAAGTAGACTAGGCTAACCCTAAGAATATGGTTGTAAAGTATTTCACTCTTCCTTAGACTAGGCTAACCCTAAGAATATGGTTGTAAAGTAGACTAGGCTAACCCTAAGAATATGATTGTAAAGTATTTCACTCTTCCTTAGACTAGGCTAACCCTAAGAATATGGTTGTAAAGTAGACTAGGCTAACCCTAAGAATATGGTTGTAAAGTATTTCACTCTTCCTTAGACTAGGCTAACCCTAAGAATATGGTTGTAAAGTAGACCAGGCTAACCCTAAGAATATGGTTGTAAAGTAGACCAGGCTAACCCTAAGAATATGGTTGTAAAGTAGACCAGGCTAACCCTAAGAATATGGTTGTAAAGTAGACCAGGCTAACCCTAAGAATATGGTTGTAAAGTATTTCACTCTTCCTTCGCCCCAAAATAAGACTGCGGATGAGACTGCGGTTTCAGTTGCTTAGCGAAAGAGGGCGGCATAGGTGGGGACAGATGTCTCCGGGCGCCTGACTAGTCGAGGCGCCAAAATGGGCATTGTGGTATTTTATCGATGAAAATAATAGGTTTTATAATAAGGGGCGTAAAAATAATCCTTTTCCCAGGGTTCCAAACAACCTAAATATGGTTTCTTTACCCCCTTCCTCTTTTCAATAATATACTTTAAAGAATACAAAATGAAATTATGTATTTTCCATATATTCTCTTCCGAATCTTGACAGATGACAGGCCCACAATTAAAGCTGCCCATGTTAATGTTAACTGTTGTTCTCATGATTGACTTATACGTGTAACCATGATGCTGAGCTAATCTTACCACATATATAAAACTCTATCATATTACCGTCAAACTGCACTGAGTTACCTTCCCACAATTTTTAGTTAGGCTATTATTAATTCTAAACCATGTGAAATGTGGACTCTTTATAACAATTAACATGTCATTCGAACATCATATGTCAGCGTGCAGACCCCACTCAAATAACTTCTGCACCTCCTTTATTTCCTATAACTTAATGAGCCTCCAAAAATGCACATTTTATGGTTTATGGAATGGGGGTGGATGAAAGTCGAGGTCATCTCATTGCACAGTGTAATGTCATTTACACGACAAAGAGAGGCGCGCGCTCACACCCTTGCACGATCCAATACCATCCATCTTTCCTGTCCAACGCCAACCAAACCAGCTCGAAAATCCAATTATGGCCTGGGTCGATTCGCGCCCCCCCCCCTTACACACACAATACCCTTCTATACCGTAAAACCGGGCATTAAAAAAAATCTTCATCTTTCCTGAATAGTTTCTATCATTTAAAAAAAAAAATCGACCCCTTTGCTTTTGTACAAAGTTGGTAGAATATGGGGAATGAAAGGTATACTGAGCGTTATCGATTTCGGGGCAAGCTCATACAAAAATTCCTCAGCTCATATTACAATAAATGATGCCATACTCGATACCGCATGCGTTTTTTCCCCCTTAAGAACTTGGAGGAGGTGAGTATCGATTCTTAGAACACAGTTTCTGTTTATAGTCCCTGGGCGCGTGGGGCGGCTATTATCGAATAATTAGAGGAACGAAAGCATCGATTTCTTCAGGCTGCTTAACATTTATTGTGTTTTGATTAAGAAAGCGCCTCCCTTCCTTTTTTCGCACTCTTCACTCGCAACCAATAAGATTAAAACAACTTCCTTACAAAAAAAATATGAACAGTAATGTGACGCGCTTCATGAGAGAATGAATAATAAACGGTAGTTACAAGCGAAAACCGTAAGTGAAAAGTATGTGAGCTACTGTGCATTTTTTCAACCATGTCATATCTCTTTGGGTTTCTGTTTTATTCATTGGCGATATTTAGTGAAACGGTGAGGTGGGGGCCAGGGTGGGGATTTCTCTGGTCTGAATCCTCTACACCAGCGTTTCCCAAACTTTTAAGTTTCACGGACTGGTGGACAAGTTTCGAAACTGCACCAGGGACCGGTGCCAGATTTATTACAATAAGTTATGACATGGCTCGCATTTTTCTCTTGTGCAGAATAGTCAGTAGACCAACCTCAACGGGAGCTCTCTCCCCCCACCATTAAATTATCTTAAATAATTTGAACTCTCTCTGCGTCGTTCAATTTTATGCCATTTTAAACAGATAAACAGTAATATTTTAAAATAGTTTATTTCAATAACTGTTTACAAGTTAAACTCTGCAATCAATTCCACAAGAAGTGCGCTACCAGTAGATACTGTTTAAATATGGTGATATTGTAGGCACAATGGTAAACTTCTGACCTTAATGTTAAAGCTTAAAGTATTGCCTGTATAAAGGGAGCGTGACAATTTGATGCTTTCAAGTTGAGTGTAAGACAACGCTTTATAAATGTCAACCTGTGAACATCTGTCAAATAACGTTGCAGTAATCAGTCTTCTTGTCTGGATGTAATCCTTCAATGTAACATGGTAATACCCCCCCGATGACGTTATAGCCCCGATCGAGCCAAATGGTCTTCAAAGCCAGGATTAGCTTATTGGAATGAAATACTTAAGACATCAGCGTAAGACCCTGTTTCCCAATATATAGGGAGGCCAAAAAATGTGTAAACATCCCTTTGTCAGAAGCAGATAAAAGGCGCCAACTCTTACAATAAGTTGTTGAGACGCAGGGGAAAAGGGGTTTGGGGTGGGGGGGGGGGGGGGAAGAAATTGAAAATGTTTTTTTTCCCAATATATAGGGAGGCCAAAAAATGTGTAAACATCCCTTTGTCAGAAGCAGATAAAAGGCGCCAACTCTTACAATAAGTTGTTGAGACGCAGGGGAAAAGGGGTTTGGGGTGGGGGGGGGGAGGGAAGACATTGAACATGTTTTCTGATTAGCATGATAATTTTCATACAACTGTCAATGACAAAACATATTAACTCAATAAAAGAAAACTTTGTTACGAGTTGTTCTCACTTTTTCTGGGCCACCCTGTATGCCAAAATTTAACTATGATTAGACAAAATAATAATTCAACCAAACGTTTCAACAAATGCCTTCACACAGGACAAAAATTTATATAATTATTTATTTTTGATGGACGTACTATAATGTATGTTTATCCTACCTATACCTAAAAATGCTATAAAAGAATAAAAGTGGACACAAATGCCTAACGAAAGCAAAGGTAAGCAGAACGGAAAGAAAGTGGGTGGAAGTACTATATAAAACCAAACATAGTAGTGGCATGTAATGCAGCGGCTAAGGTTGCTACTTTTGGGACATATATGTGATTTAAAGGCAGGGAGTTGGCTTTTAACAAGCATGTCCCTAAGGCTCTTGTCTTTCCGTAAAGTGAGTTCGTGTGACAGTGTCCCTAGACACATGTATAATTTCTTCTGTAACGGTTTGAGCTTGCTCCCTAGCCCTCTGTTTTGACTTTTCACATGTCAATTTAAGTCCCAGTTTCAAACGCATATGGTGATGGGGGGCTTTCTATAAATTCTACTCTAAAACAGATTCCCAACAGTTCGTATGGAGATGGTTACAGGGCCTACTTAAAAAAAAACAACAAAACCTAAATGAAAACCCACCAAACTTTACGCGGTCCATTAGGGGTCGTTCGCAAATTACGTCACACTAAAATGACCTATTCAGACCCCCCTGTCACAAAGTGTCGCAAATTCTTTAACAACCCCCACCCCTGTTGGTGTCTCGTCACACCTAAAAAAAAAAAATACATAAAATTTTCTTGACTAAACTGAGATTTTATTTTATTCTTTAACATTTCCCATAATAATTCACAATTGATTAAGAAGTAGTATTATTAGAAAACTGTGACGTAGAACGCGAAACAACGAAGTCCTCCCTGCGCCGAATGTAAAATGGCCACACAACTGTTTTTGCGTCATTTTTCGATAGGAGTTTTCACGGTACTTTTTATACCAGAGGCGATTTGGACCTCTAATTAATGTTTTTAAAAATTATTTAAAAAAAATTTTTCAAAATTATAAAAATTTTTCCCCAATTCTCCCCCCCCCCCCCCCCCCTCAATTTTTGTCTCCTTCTTTTACTGAGCGTGACGTAATTTGCGAACGACACCCTTATTCTGAACATAACACACCCAATTGAAAACCCACCCAAACTTTTACGCGGTGCATTAGTCTGAACATATTCATATGATATTTCGATACAAATTTTTCATTCCTATCGGAAGATATTATTACCAAGGGCAAAGAACCTCAACCGTCTGCCATCTTGGTTAGGATGTTCTGTTGTATACCTGTACTTGTACAAGCGCCCGTTCCTTCCCCTGATCTAAGGCTTGGTTATCATCCAGCAGATCGTGCCTGCCGCTCGGAGTGCCTGACCTGTTTATCTGAGCTTCGTGAACCAATGTTGGCTGGACTGTAGGAAGGGGGGCGGGGGTTGGTGGTGGTTTGTTTGGAGCTGTGCCATATTACACGCTACACAGGCACGGCTATTCTTGGTGTCGAAGCATAGGCCGTGCCTAAGAATACTGCGTTGTTTTATCTCGAACATTGTCGGCGTTGATAGGCCTGTGTGGCAGCTGTGCCGAATACGTCACGGTGATGTGGGCATTTTAAAGCTGTGTCAACATAGGCCAAACGTAATAAAATGAACACGAGAAGTAGGCCTACAGGCAGTATCAAATGGTTTTCCGATATTTATAGGGGTATTGTATACTCGGAACTACAAAATGTCTTGTAATCGTAATTAATTATTGCGAATTTTCATAGCATAGAAAATGGGTGTGGGAGAGATTGATAAATAAATCGTACATAACTTACTCTAACCAAATCATAAATAAAGCAAACACTGAGAGGCAAAGATGCAGACTCGTTTAACCCTAATAAGTTAATGTCAGCGTAGTTTTCAGCTCTCAAAAACGTAGTTTCAAGCTCCAAGTATGAGTTTGGTGGGGGGGGGGGGGGCTGGTTTGCAATCAAAATACACGTTGTAAAAGTAATTCCACTCAACTGCTTATGTAAGTTAAGTATGCATGGGGGGGGGGGGGGGGGGCTGGTTTGCAATCAAAATACACGTTGTAAAAGTAATTCCACTCAACTGCTTATGTAAGTTAACGCAAATAAATATACAGAATATAGTGATGCGATTTGTTGTTTAGGGTGAGAAAAGGTCTTGTGCAAGCACATTGGCAGTTAAGTATGAACAACGCGATTCTCTAAAAGATAATATTCTGGTTGGTTTATTGAAATCGAGATCACAAACACCAATCACAGTTTTTTCTGATTGGAACACTTGCGGTATTAACACAAAAAATGCGGTATACTGCAAACAAACCTATGATTAAAAAAAAGAAAATTAAAATAAACCAAACATACGGAAAAACTCCCGAAACCGTAATTTTTTTAAGGCTCGTCGTAGTGCCGTAGTCTTAAGCTTAAAAACGTATTTACGACGTCGAAAGCGTAGGGTTAAACAGGTCTTAAGATGATCTGTGATTAACTTGTTTTATGCTACAAAGGGGCTTAAACGGAATTCCACAAATAAAATTACAGGTCCAAGAATGCTGGCATTGAAAATAACACCTAACCCCGCACCAGATGCTTGGGAATAGATCATCGGTAGAGTAACATCTGCTCTGTGGTGCGCTTCTCTTTTCAGTTTGAAGGCTAGACCTCAGCGATGCGATTTTCAACTTAATTTCATGATTGCATTTTTAACAATGATTTTTAACCTCCACAATGTAAATTATTATAAAGTTGGTTGTGCACCTCAGTTATCATATTTAATGGTTTAAAGCAAAACATGCGGCCCACCAGCACCCACTTTGCGGCCTGCGAAGCAACAAAATATTCATTATTCTTATTACTTTCTTAATAGCTTTCCCCTCGTCCTATTTTCTTTTGACCCGCACACGTTTTTCATAAAGTATTACGGCCCGCCTTACATTTTGAATTGTGCAGGCCTGGTTTAAGGCACTGTTGCGGAGCTTTTTTTTAGGGCGTCTATAATCTATTCACACACACACAGACACACACATATATATATATGTGTGTGTTGTGCTTATAGCATTAAAGTTAATTTAAGGCAAGATAGTACATAAGACAATCAATCTCATCTAATCTTAAAATGATAATAATTGGATTAAACGCAACTGATAATTTGCTTTATTCTTAAAATAATTAGCCTTAATTTGTCTCAAGCGTATCCTTTTTTTTAAAGGTCGGAAAACCGCCTGTCCAGCAGCAATATTTTTATTCTTAAAATAATATATAGATAAGATACGATTCTTTAATTGATCCAAATAAATGGAAATGTTTTTTGCTTGCAACTTGCATTCTACATTTTGAGCACATAAATAAAAAAAATTGAACACAAGATATCTACATTAAATTATTTCACTAGTGAAAAAAAACAGCCATTCTGTGAACTCTCTTAGTCTTATAACTTAGACTTATAACGTATAATTTAGTTTTATAACTTCTGGGAGAGCAGGCTGGTAAATTGTACAGATTGGGGAACAAGAGAATTTTTTTATCTTTCAGTCCTTGCCCTGAGAGAAAGAATTCATCACTATCGAGCCAATATTAAGTCAAGTATCTGTGTTGAAGAGTGTGGGATGTATCATCAAAAATTTGTTTTATTATAACATCTTTCTTCAAATAGTTCTTCAAATAGTTCTTCAAGTGAAGGATGTTTAGTTCGTGTTATGTTCCTAGCTTTCTTGATTAGTCTGTTAGTTTATTCTGTGTTTAATATAAGACAGAGAAGTAATTTCATGTTTTCTTGATGGAATTTATTTTATTAAGCTCTTTTTTTATAACCCGAGATCGAGGGATCTAGACTGCAATTGTAATATGTACAGACACAGTTAAGACCATTATGAAATTGGAAGCTATAATTTAATATCATGTCCCCCTATCAGTTACCTGATATGGTGTTTTAATGAAGGCACAGGTAACACAATCAACCAATGGATCAGATCACATAAGTGAATTATTGGCTTAATTTGTTGTTCCTCTTAAATTTCATGCTTTTTATTGTACTTTTTTTTTTCTTATGTTGTTCTGTCTGTATGTTTGTGGTGGAATCTTTCATATCGATTTTGACCCACTTCCTGACCTGCAATTCAGGTGCAACTTACTTCTTCATCACAATATACAACACTCCATGATCAGTAGGTCATAATTGACCTCCACTGACCATTAAGTGATTTCTGCAGATATCTCAGGAACAGAAAGTGATAGGGACATCAGGATTTCACTACAGCTTCCTTATGCTTGATGGCTTTTTCTCGAAATTAATCAATTTTTTTTTACCACAGTAAGGTCAGCAATGGACCTTTCACTTTTTTTTTTTATATCATTGGCGCCCCACGCTTTTTAAAATTATGTTTCAACCGACTTCCTGATCTCCTATTTAATGTTTTTGGTGTTTTTTGTTTGTCTTTAGCTTCCAAGTTTCTATGTCATTTATTGAAAATATGGTTTAATTTACTGTAAGTTAACCCACCAGGTCATGACCCGTTTAAAAAGCTGACATTGATAAATTAATGTTTTTAACTCCTTTTTACAACTATGCACCCCTCAACTATACTGAAAAGAAAATTAGTGTGGGATTAGTTTGGCCAAGATGACACACTTTTCTTGATTTTGAGCCATGTTAAAGTCTGCTAAAGATTTCCCATTTAAAATAAGGTCTGGGGCTTGACTAATCATGTTCTTTTGGCCAGTGAATCCACAGTTCCAAACACAGAATTGTTTTTACAAGGATTAAATATGATTCATTGAAAAGTTTAGTTTTCAACTTGAATCATTCTGATATCTCATCTAACTTCACCTAGACACATTGCCACATGGCCTGCATGGTTTAGTTTTTAATCCAGATTTTGGTAAAGACAATGCAAAATCAGCAGCAATGAGATTGCTATGTTTAAAATTTAGCTCTTTAGATTAAAAAACGTAATTCTGATAAAGCACCAGTCTTTTTACAATTAATATATCTAATTATACATAAAAAGCAACTCTTAATATTTAACTATTTATTAAACTGTCATGACTGCAAACAAATATAAACCCAAATATGTATTGAATCATTTCTGAATTTAGCTTTAATCCAGCTATATACTAAGTTATTAAGAGAGTTCCTTAAAAGTGTGAACCCTTATAAATTTATTGGCTTTAATATAATTTATTCTGGTAAATATGCCTCTGGGATCTTAGGATGCTGCTTTTCTCTGTTTGCTGGCTAGCTTAAGACTTATTATGTAATTTAGCCATTGACATCTGAAAGTACTTCATTTATGTCTTTACTCTCAACCCCTATTTTTTACAGTAGTCCTAGCTTCTGGTATGTTTTATTGTCATAACGTAATTTTCTATTTTACTTTTTAACAACTGATTCTGTTTGACAACATTTTAGAAGGGGGAAAAAAAGAGACATCACAAAATAGTTCCTTCATGAACATTTGTATTTACTTTTTATCCCCACTTTATTTTTGTTTATTTCAATTGATTGAACATTTTCTGACCATTTCATTAATTCATTTTGAGTCTAGATTACATGTGATTTTTGAAATATTCATAAATTTACATTTAAATTCAAGTATTTGAAAGAAATATGATCCTTCATGAAACATTTGTTTTCCACCTTTTTAAAAATAACCATTGAACAAAACATAATAAAGATTATATAAAAATGATTGTAAGGTTTTAATTATCAAGTTCTTATTCACAGTAAAAGTAATTCAAATTTATGATAAAATTTATACTATTTTAATAAATATTTTTGCATATGAAAAATAGAATTTCAAAAATTACTTTCTTCAGAACTGAGGAAGAAGGGTCAGCTCTCCAAGACAAAGGGGAATCTACTCCATCACAAACATCAGGAGTAAATACTCCTTCCACTGCCACTTCAGCTTTAGAAAAATTGTCAAGTACACCATCATTTGACAGAGGGCGAACAAGGGAACGATTTACTAACAAAAAGAAATTTGGAAAGTTTGAAAAGTGAGTTAAAAGTAGCATATATGTAATCATGATTTTATAGCCCTGTCCAAATTGACATTGCTTCCTGTGACACCATAAATAACTCTTTCTACCTCTTGGGTAGTGGTTGTCCTCAGCTATGGATAAATAACTAATGGAAATTGGCTAAGAAGTCAAGTAATAGTTATCTATAGTACTCATTCTCCCAAGACTCCATATCTTTCTCACAACATCGCCTGTGCCAATTTAATGAAGATTTCTTAGATAGGGCTAATGAATGACTTCTTTTGCTCCAGATCTTATCTTGAAACTACTCGTCTCGCCACTCATTGACATATAAGGATGCTTTCAAAGCTCATCCTAGCAAAAATGAAGATCAAACCCAGGTCATTCTGACCTACCACCATCACAATGTGATTGCCAAAAAAATATTCCTAAAGAATCTACCATACTTGTTGCTGACATGACACCCCCCCCCCCCCAACAGGGTATTCTCGTCTCCTCCACTTATTGTCTTCAGATGTGACAAAAAATCTAGGTGACCTTCTGGTTCACAGTCGCCTTTGTGCTGACTGGTCTCATATTAGGACTAAGCCATGCTCAAGAGGCTGTTTTCAGATTTGCCCCTATACACTTGAAACCAAAAACATATAGCCCTCCCTATGGGTACTTTTACCATCAAAAAGGGCTTCATATGTGTCATTTGCAATGTGATCTATGCGATTGTTTGCAGTAGATACAGCTCTTGATATATAGGCGAAATGGGAAGAAGATTATCTGATAGGTTCACTGAACATCTTTATAATATCAAACATTGCAAAAGTTCCCCGGTCTCATCCTATTTCAACAGAGATAAACACAAAGGCACATAAGATGTTTCCATCATGGCACTGATTTCCGGCACTAACACACCAGTGAGACTTAGGAAAGAAAACAAATAAATTGAGATTTTCGGCACAATATTACCATATGGAATCAATCAAATACTCTCCTACCATGTGATCCTCAATCTCCCTGTATTTCTTTACTAATTTTTTAATATTTAACAATTCCAAAATATTTTGTTAGTTAAAATCTTACTTTTTACAGTAATGATACATAAATTCTTTTACTTCCTGCAATCTTTTGGATAGAACTCATATTTGTGTTTTGGAAAACCTAACTTCTGGCAATAACATTATTGTCTAACTCCAAACACTTAATTTTTGAACTGTTTTCTATTTTCTGTTGTTTCTTCTTTTGTCCTGCCATCTGAAGGCTTTTAGCTGAAACACACTGTATTGTTACTGTCTTTATATTTCAAGCTTCTCCTATTTCCTTCACGCAGCTTGAATACCGTCCTTCATTTATTATCGTTAAGTGAAGTAAGGCAGCTAGAGGTTAACATTGAGTAAATAACCTCCTCCACCAAGTCAGAACACAGCTAGTCACCATGACATGGGATTAAAAATTACAATATCTATGCAGAAAAAGCAGTAATCTTACAAGTTCAGCTGCTTCTGCTGCTAGAATCAATGCTGGGCATAATAAAAATAACCTCCGCCAACACGTCAGAAGACAGCAAGTACCATGACGTGGAATTAAAAATAAGATATCTATGCAAAAAAAAGCAGTAATCTTACCAGTTCTGCTGCTAGAATCAATGTGGGCCGTAACAGAAATAAAAATAGTCTAATCAATATTTACTATTTTTGCAAGCTTAAATTCACTACACAGATAAATATCAGATCTAAACATTGTAGCTAGTAAAATAGTTGTGTGGAATGTTGGTACATTTAGAGTGTAGTTCATGCTAATTGAGATATCAGTAATTTTTTTAAAGAAAGATTAATAATATTAAATTTCAAGACATCAACACATAGAGTATTTTAATAAAAATAACACTTGGAATTATTTGTTTTAACCCATAGCAGAAATGGATCCTTTGGACGTCATGGTACCACAACTTCCAGCAGGAGTTTGGAGGCTGCTCGTTCACAGTCAGAGGCTGCCGCTGCAGCCGCAGCTGCTGCTTCATCTGCCACCCCGGCCGCCACCACAACCACCTCCGCCGGTACTGGATCAAACAGCAACAGTGGTAGCACTACGGGCTTAAACCCTATCATAGTTAGTGATACTAGAGACTGTGGAAATAAAGATGCTAAAGAAAATAATAAGGATTCCACGTTGTCAAGGCCACACTCTGTGGCTTCTCCAAGCAGCAGGCACAGTGGATTAAAAAAATCACAGTCTCAGTCAAGGTCAGCCAGTCGAAGCAGGTCACGGTCACATGGGTCTAAGTCTAGTAGCAGTAGAAGCGATTCATCGGGTACAAGTAGATCTACTTCACCACATAGAAGGTATTTATGAAAGTAAAATAAATATATTTACCGTGAGTGCCCTTGCTTAAATAATTTAAAAAAAAATATAAAAAAAAACGGTGGCACCTTAACAATAATCTATTTTGGGTGCAAGCATTTATTGTGATCAGTTTGTAAATTGAAAATCAAAGCAGATATTGAAATGAATATAAAGTTGTAGAGAGAGTTATAACTTAATGAAACCAACATTTTAAAAATCTTAATGCTCATTTAATTTGCTTTGTTAGATCCCCTGAAAATCAAGGCCTATTACTTTAAAATGAAGAAATCAGATTTCTTTAAAAAAGATAGATGAGTAATAAAGACATACCCTCCTGGGCATTAAAATGCAAATGTTCAACTAGCTAAAGCCATCTACCTAATCGGAGAGCTTTGGGATGTGGGAGAAGCTAGATAATAATGAACTGAGTACATGCAAACCAAACCCCGTGTCATTGTTTGTTACCTTTTTAAAAAAAAAAATTTTTTTTTCATGAAGTATTACAACTATTTAATTAAGTCTTGTAACATAATTTTTAGAAATATCTTGGTTTCAATAAATTTAACTTTAAGTAGGTATTTGCAGATCCAACAAATTCACTTTGCCACCATATTCAAGCTCTTTTAATTTTGGACAAAATCAATAAACTAATTTATTGCTTATTTTACTTTGACAAATTAGGTTCTGCCTTAACTTAAACAATACATACATACTCATATAGCTTCCCAATTGTGTCACTTTGCATGTGGTATAATTATATTTTGAAAAACTTCCTCATTAACATTTTCCTATGTCAAAAGTCACAAGTTTATTTTGTAAACTCTACAGTTCTCTTTTCAATTCACTAAATAAACTTAGAATTCCATTATTTTCGAATTTATTTAATGCACTGTTACTCGATTAGGGGTACAAGATTTGTTAAAATAATTTGTAGAGGTTGCAAGACTTGTCAAGTAATAGGCATTTAACTTTTAGTTACTCTTTTTCGTAAAATAAAAAGAAGAGGTTGCAATGATTAAAAATATGCCTTTTACTATTTTTTTTTTTTTTACTGGAACTGAAAGAAACATAATTATTAAAGATGTATGCCTTTAGTAGTAAAATGGGGAGGCATAAGTTAGGAAAGAAAATTTTGCGTATAATTATTAATATGTAGTAAATGTTCTAGATTGTAGAGGTTGCAAGACTTGTCAAGTAATAGGCATTTAACTTTTAGTTACTCTTTTTCGTAAAATAAAAAGAAGAGGTTGCAATGATTAAAAATATGCCTTTTACTATTTTTTTTTTTTACTGGAACTGAAAGAAACATAATTATTAAAGATGTATGCCTTTAGTAGTAAAATGTGGAGGCATAAGTTAGGAAAGAAAATTTTGCGTATAATTATTAATATGTAGTAAATGTTCTAGAACTCTAAAAGTAATTCATTTTCACTTTCTCATTATTTAAATTTTATGCCGTTAATCTCTTTTTGAAATGTTCAATTTAGATAGATAATAGGATTATATTTTTGTTTGTTAGCATATTGATAAATCTAACATTTTTTAAATTTCTGAAGTTATTCCAGCTCAACAGCACGGCCACAATCTATGGTTGGGGCATCAAGATTGGTTAGTAGTGAAATTAAAGATACAAAAAGGGAAGAAGATGGAGAGAGAAAACCTTTGGGAATCTGCATTACTGGACTACCTATGAGGTCTACAGGTAGCAAAGTTTTTTATATTCAGCTAAAAAGTTACTCAAAAAACCTATGTTTATTTCAGTTGCTATCAGTGGGATGTATAAGAAACTGAAACTTAATTGAAACTTGTTTAGCTAAAAATATTATAGTATTAATGTAATTTAAACCAATTTAACATAATTTAAACCAATTCATTTGATTACTAATTATACTTTACTAACAATTAATCCCCATGCCATTAAATTATTATTGCTTTCACATGATCCTCATTTTAGCTTAAAGTTAAGTAAATCTTAATAACACTGTTCTTACTAGTTCAGAAACAATTTTAAAAATTTGGTCAGAATACACATACACAGAGGAAAAACACAGAAACACATCACACCACCACCTCTGCAAAAACAGCCTGAAGACCTGTTGACATGACATCGTTAACGAGGCTATTTAATGACTGGGTTCAATTTAGATGTTAAACTATTAGCCATCATGTATAAGTGCCACATTTTCATTTGCTTAAATGGGGTCATATGGGCATACATGGAAATTTAACGTAATCATATTTTTTAAGGCATAGACAATTAGTAATCATGTTTGTTTGTAATGATATAGTCACCATCAGTTGGAAATATCTTTTCTTAATTTTGAAAGAGATATGTGAAGTTTTTTTTAACTACATTTACCATATGATGTAGAGGTAATTAAAGATAAGTCAAAATTTAAAGATTGAAATAAGTTCGAAATTTGCTGTACATTTAAAAAAAAATACTCATTTCAGTGACATCAAGTGGTTACAATTCATATACTTTCTTCTGCATCCTAACAGACTCTAGCTTGAGAGATGGGCTTTATCATGAGTATAAGAAACATGGGAAAGTGACTACTGTTCAAATTTGTGCAGATGGGGACAGCAGATGTGCAATTGTCAGCTTCAAGAAGTGAGTACATTTTTTTTTAAATAAAGAAAACCAAAACGTTAGCATAACTGGTTCAGCTCTATTACATTACTTACTATATATAGTCCTCATGTATATCAAAAATAAAATATAGTGTATATTCTCTAGCACTTAGTTGTTTATAAAAAAAATGTACAATCATAAAGGTATGAATTCACTCATTTTCTTTTTTCTGATGTTGATAAAGTACCAGTAAATAAAATGGAATAGTTAGTATTCAAATTACCTTTCATGGTTTTAGTAACTTTAAGAAAACAATTTGATAAATATGCTTATTTTTAAAAAATTTAGGATCATTAAAAGATTTTTTTAAAACTTGACTTGATAAACATATTGACAAGAAGTTAGAATTTAAGAGTAATTTTACAGTTTTTTACAGTCCTTCCCAGTTTCCATAAAAAATCGAGCACGCCAATTTAATTTTTGGAATTTAATATGCCACTTTGTTGCTGCACTGCTTCTTTCTTCCATTTTATTTTCTTTTAAATTTCTTTATTATAATAATATATAATAATATATAATAATAATAAATAATAATAAATCCTACTGTAATGATGTCGGCCTTGTGGGAATTTTATTTTGATCGCCTCTTGAACACATTACAGCTTTATTTTCATACATACAGCGATAGAAACACACCAAGAGAATGTTATTTGTGATATTTGAAAATATGCTTTTTTTTTTATTTTCAAAGGCCTGAAGATGCCAGCAAAGCACTGGAAGCTTCTCAAGGAAAAGTTTTCTTTGGCTCAAAAATTAAAGTAACATCACATGAGGGAATAGGTAAGCTTAAAATTTGCATGTTACTTCTCCATATTAGAAATAATTAAAACATTTTTTACAACTTAAGATAAATGGTCTCATCATGTTTTTTTAAAAGTTATCTAAAAAGTAATCAAAAGAAGAAATATTTTAAACTTATTTTCTTGCAGAGGTAGATGATTCTGATGTAACCAATGATAATGATAGTTTGGATGAATACCATCTTAAATCTACACGTACACTCTTTGTTGGCAATCTGGAGAAGGAAACCACCAAAGAAGATCTCATTGAAAAGTTTCAACAGTTTGGAGAAATTATTGTAAGGGTTAATTCATTAAACTTTTAACTATTTAAAGTAACATAGCTAGTCTCAATTTTGGACTTTATTCTGACTTTATTGGATATTTTTTTCAGTAAATTTGTTTTACATATTGTGAAAAGTTGAAAATTACAAAATTAAAATTAAAAAAAAATAAATTCACAAATACATTGATTTTTTTCTGCTGTTTTATTTCACACAACTCTTGGATTTTTACACCAGCTGATAAAAGTTTTCAATTGACTATAACATCAGTTCTTTGTTTAAATATTAGCATCGGTGATATAATTGGCTGTATATGCACTTTTGCTAAGTCCCTTCCATTAATTGCAAACTTATTTCTATTAGGATGTGGATATCAAGAGGCAAGGGGCAACAACTGCATTTGCTTTTGTTCAGTATGTTGATATAACTAGTGTTGTAGCAGCATTGAGAGCTATGGAAGGAGAGCACATTGGTATCAATAAAATAAAGGTACTTAAGGCAATATGTTGTCCTATTAAAGGTACAAGTAAAGAAATCCATTTTCATATTTCAAATCTAAAAAAATTGTAAGAAATATCAAAATATTTAGTCTAATTTATTAAAGTAACTACCAGTTGTTTTTCTTTGAAAACCTGTAAATATGTTTTTAAATATAAGAGCTTAAAACAAAATATCTCTTGAATAAAATAGCTGCTTATAAGCTTTTTACTACTCTGTAACTGTGTGTCCTTCATAGAAAGCATTGCATCTGACATTTTTTAACACTTGTAATCTTGAGCAGTATATGTGAATGAGTATTGGCACATATGGATCTCTGTATTTATAGATGTTAAAATGTTTAATTTTTTTGTGTTGCAATTTAAATTAAAAAAACATTTCAAAACAAATGTAAGCAAGTCATATCAGAAGATTTTTAATGATAAAAGTAATTATAAAAATTCATTTTTTCAAAATATCTCATCCTGATATTGTAATAATGAATAATTTAATAAAAGTGTATATAATTTAGTATCCCGGAATGCCATTGTGGTTAAGGTGCATTGACAATGCAATTACCACAATTTTCAAAATTCAATTTTTAGGAATCAAAAAGTATTTACTCAAATCGTGGCCTTTCTCTGAAACAGCTTGGCTTTGGAAAGAGCATGCCCACGTGCTGTGTGTGGGTTGATAACCTGCCCAGTGACACTAATGGTCGGTCATTGAAGAACTTGATGTCAAGGTATGGAGAAATCACTCATTGCCTTGTGGACAAAAACCGCAACAGGGGACTGATTTACTTTAACTCTTATGATCATGCTCAACATTGTGTCAGTGATATCAAGATGCGGCCACATTTTAGCAAGAAGAAACTCCAGGTAAGAAATAGATTCATAATCCATTTTGATGGATATTGGTATTGGTAATAAAAAGTACATTAATGTATTTAATACTAACTGATTTATGCAATTAAAATCTCATGTAATAATCAATAATTATTGATGCGATTAAGGTTTATATTGTGAAGAATTTATTCTAAAACTTTTTGTGCATGAGGAATTTAACATTTTCATATTTACATCTAGATTGACTTTGCTAGTCGAGAATGTCAAACAAACTTTTTGGACAGAATGGAGGAATCAGGTCAACTTCGGGCTAACGAGAGACCTGATGAAAGCAGAGTCCACTCAAAGTTTAGACAGCAAAGGAGCTTTGATGGCTTTCCAGAAGAGGGGTAATTATCATTACCAACATTCACATTATTAGCAAATTTATGAAAACATTTAAAAATGTACTTACATTATTAAGCTGGCATTAAGGTTTTAAATGTTTTATGTAAACTAACGGTAATTGTAAAAATGTAGAATCCATTGTAATAGTTTGATGAAATAAGCTTACATGATCTTTAAGGGTTCAAAATCCAAAGAAATCATGCTATTATACCTGTTCCATGTCAAGTTACATATTTTGTGACTAATATTTATAAGTAGATTGAAAAATTCAATATTTCATTTAATTAACTAGTTCATTATTTTTATGGTAAAATATTCTTATCACTTTTTTGAATGCTCTAAATTAAAAAAAAAATCAATTATATTTGATATCTTGATATAGACTTTCTCTGAATTTGTTTTACATTTTTTACTGATAGAAATCAATAAATAACGAATAGAAAATGTTCATTGATTTCAGAAGCCCCTCGAGTTACGGTTATAATCCACGAACTCCTGGGAGTTTTTCTTCAAGAAATGGACGTAGCAGTAGACGAGGCAGGCAATATGTTGACCCAGCTTTTCCTGAAGAACCTCCATCTTCAAGGCGCTCTCGGTAGTTAACTTTAAATAACCATTTTAAAGATATTTTACGAAGAAGAAATAAAAATCTTGTTTCTGAGGGGAAAAATATCATCAGTGGCGCTACAGCCCATGTAGGGCCTTGGCCTGCTCCACTACATCCTTCCATTCGGATTCATTCATGGCTTTCCGCCTCCATGTGCATACCCCAACTGGTGTAAGTCCTTGATATCGTCGATCCGTCTCAGTCTTGGTCGCCTAGTGAGCCGTGCCCCTGTATCACTTTTGCTGCACTACTATTCGGCGTCTTTTCAATATGTCCTGTCTAGCGCAGTCTGCCTTTTTTAATTGTTGGGACTATGGGTGGGTCTTTGTACAATTGATATAGTTCTTGGTTTGTATGGACTCTCCAAACATCATTGTCTATCACTGGGCCATATATTTTCCTGAGGATCTTCCTCTCCCATGTATTGAGCAGGGAAAAAAACGACTCAGAATCTTGCTCTTCTTCTATATTTTGAGGGCCATGATCAATGAATTGATTATTCTGGCTCCTATGTTTCAGAGGGGTTCGCAATGTAATTGTCCATGGTTTTGAAGGGGATACTTCACTGGTTGCAAGGGCTAACCAGCAATGGCATTATGAACTGGGGGTTGGAAGGCATGGGGCTATAGATGCTCTACAACTTAAAAAACATTAATCCCATTAAACAATTGAGTAAAGAAATTAAAGTTATTATATTGTGTATATTAGGAAAATTTACCCTTCTTTGGATAAAGCTACAATTGTATATTAGGTTGCGAGATGTGTTATATGGATGAAATATGTTTATTTCAATTCTTTTATGTTATCAATATGCATTTTTTATTTCCAGGAGACCTGAGGACTTTACACCATCTAGTACATACTACAGCAGCAAAGGCAACGGTGATGATTATGATGCTGTGCTGCGAGAGTATGGTCACAGCCAACGAGAGCGCAGAGAAAGAGACAGTCCGAGGCATTCTTCTGCAGATCGGCGAGTAGATAGTCAGTCACGACGTGGATCGAGAGATCATTCCCTTGACCGTTATGAGGATCGACAAAAGGAAAGGACTGTTGATATTTTCTCAAACAGAGGTGTTAGTCCTAGCAGTGAACACAACTCATATCATTCTGAAAATCGTTACAGATCATCTCGGGATGAAAAATATCTATCCCGAGACCGTTTTGAAGATCGCAAGTCTGAGGATAAAGACTTTGATCATCACAGTCGGCCAAGCCGAACTGCTTCACCATTCTTACAGAATCATGCAAGTTTGCACTCACACGACAGTGAGTTTAATAGACGCGGTGGTTCTCGCTCCCAGTCACCCACAACTCCTCTACAAGAAGAAGCAGGGTCAAGATTCTATTCAGATGACTACAAACATTCAGTGGGGACTGAGGATGATTATAATCCTCATTTGCCCCCTAAAAGAAGGGATTCTGAATCAAAATCGTGGTTGATGCCATCAAATAAGCTTGGGGCAGAAGTTGCTAAAACAGTAGAAAAAAGTAGAAAACGAACTCATGAAGAATCCGGACTTACAGACTCATTTAAAGTGGATTCCAAGGTGTCTCGTAAACTTGAGAAGCCTAGTTCACTTTCCGAGGATAAAATTAAGTATATTCATAGACAACTCAGTGGATCTAAGAGAAGGGAGTTAAAAAATTTGGATCATGGGAGTAGTCCTGGCTCTTCAGAAAGTCATGGGGACTCTGAGAATGGATCAGCCAGCGAAGGTGATTTGCACCATCTTCACCAGGAGAAGGAACACATTTTGCTCAAACTTCAAGAATTTGATGAGGAGGTTACCAGTGAGCCAGAGTCTCCTCAATCAACAGCCAAAGTGAAATCTGTGGCTGTTAAAGATGCTCTGCGTCATTCTGGTAGGAGTCATGAGGATAAACGATATGATGAGGCTTCTTATAAGAGTGAACTTCACAGAAGGCATGGGGAGAAAGTCAGGCGATTAGATTCAAAAAGAGAGCTAAGAAATCATATTTCTGATGATGTGACTTCTCGGGAGGATAGAGCTGAAAAAGATGAAACATACGAAGGCAATAGTGATTCAGGTTTTGAATTTGATTTAAGGACTAAGAAGAGAAGGCCTGAATTGCACAGAGATAGTGACTCAATGAAAGTGAAAAATTATTTGCAGGAAAGTGGTGAAATCAGTGAAGAAGAGGATATGGATAGAAAGTCAGAAAAAAATGTGCGCATACATAACTCTTCACTGGATAGAAGAGGCACCTGTGATAGCCGAACTAATTCTATGAGTTCCAAATTTTATGATGACAGCAAAGTGACACATGTATCATCCCCTTGTGATAGCAGTGATCCTTTCAAAGGTGGAATAAGTGATAATGATCTTTCTGTGATAACGCCCTACCGAACTTCATCCATATCAAATTCCCACTTTCCTAAAAAAGATTGGAGTTCCTCTGTTCCTGGTCATGAGTCAAGTCCTTTAGGGAATTTTAGCCCTGCTTACAGTGAGGAGAACACACAAGATTCTGTAACATCAGGAAGTTTAACTGATAAGCATTCACTACCGCCATCACCAACGGGTAAAGACTTTTCTGATAATGATTTCAGTTATTTAAAACTAATGAACAGCTCTGTTCCTGAAAATTACTCTTCTGATGATAGTATGTCAGATGTCCATCAGAATCCTGGAGAACAGTCTGTGGAGGAGCGAATTCGTGCTATTGATGAGATCCTTAACATGACTACTAGCAATAAGTCCTTGGACTCTCTGCATTTGGTTTTACCTCCCAGTAATATTACCAACAACAATGATAATTCTGGGGAGTATCTTAAATTCAGAATCCGTAAGCGAGAGGGTGGCATTGAAGGAGGCAATGGTAGTCTTCTGGCTGACAAAAAGCCAGAACCATCTGTGATCATGCAGCAAGTGTTGTCCAAGAAAAGTATTCTTGATCAGGATTTTAGACGCTTGAGGAACAATGATAAATTTGAACCAATGATTGGCAAAGACCATAACTTGCAATCTCTAGCTCTGAAAACAGAACTAATCTCCCCAAAATTGCTGGACATTAAAGGGGAGCTTAAACAAGTCTCATCTTATTTATCGTTTTCATCGTCATATCCAGTGACAACATCATCATCCATGCTGCAGCCCACCATCACAACATCAATCGCCAGCTCTGTATCTCACACTGCTCCCATCAGCACAAGTGTACTCACTTCATCAATTGTGAGTTCACCCATCACCATAAGCTCAAATAATGTATCCACCAAGACTATAGCAGTGGATAATACACTTGTATCCTCAGTGTTGGAATCTTCAAATAACCCTGTTGTGTTTTTGTCAGATAAACTGTTAGTTAGCACAAATTCATTGACGTTAAAACAGGATGTAACATATTCATCAAAATGCTTGTTGACGTTGCCTAATAGTTCATTAACATCAAAACCTGTTTGTGGTGTAGTGCAGTGTACATCAACAGACTCTATTGCAGATTCTAATTTATTAACTTCCCAATCCTTATTGCAATCCTCATTATCTCATCAGCCAATGTCATCCACTCTCTCAACACCTTCATTATTAACATCAACCTTATCTTCCATTTCACATAAACAGCAAACTGTCTCATCATTACCTGCTACATCATGTTCATCATTGTCAACTGTCACAAAATCTCCCAGTGGAGCCACTGTGGCAGCTCCTTTCACTCAGGGACCAGATAAATCACAGCTTACACCCACAGTTGGGCAAGAGGCGCCACGCTTATGCTCACCATCATTCACTCCAGAAAATTCTAGGACTTCTGTCAGCTCCCACCTGCCAGGGAGTCGGAGTCCTAGAATTACCACGCACAAACAAGATGACCAACATGTTCCAAGCAACAAACCTGAGCTCACTATTAGTGTTTCAGGTCAAAGTCACATCTCAAAATCTAACGATGACTTGAAAGGACATCCTAGCCTCTCTAAGGCAGATGTTATTTCACCTGACATAGAGTCACCTGTTTCTGTGAAATCGGAAACATCCAGTAACTCTTCGGTTCCCTTGTCTTCCCATGAAAATAAAGCTCACTTGGCCTTGGAAGAGAAAGGCTTAACATCTTGCATCTCCCATAGTATCCAAGCTTCCAAACCTGAAAATAATAACAGTGTTTCTCTCAAAATTCCTGTCTTATCTAACGTTGAAGAGGCATTGATAAAATCTGGCAAGGGCAACTTGGATGTTCCCTCAATCAGAGACAGTAGTTGTGATGTAGGTCTTGAGTCAATCACAATTTTGAACAAGACTGATGAATTGTCTTCCAAAAGACTTCAACTTTCACCTGCAAGCAGTACCCAGGTTGTTCTCAGTGTAGGCAGCAAAGACAATTCTGAAAAGAGAGAATTGCCAAGTCCAACAGGTGGGACAAGCAGCTGTGGTAAGGTAAAGCCCATCTCCTCTTCTCTCTCTCTTAACAGTGAAGTAGAAATTCCTATTGTTCCTGTCAGCTCTAAATCTACAGTTTCAAATGTGGCCAGCACATCTGCATCTGCAATCATAACTTCAAGACCATCAACGGACAGAAGTGATAAAAAATCAGGGAAATCAAATTCTCACAGCCACATGAAAAGTCCAGCCAAGTCAGAGGCACTTTTTGCTCCAGATGTCAAAGTTGAGCTCAAATTAAATGAGAAAACAGAAGGGAAACACCAAAGCAAGGACGCACACAAGTCATCGTCTAACAGTAGCAATAAAATTGGTGCTAGCTCTAGTGGAGAAAAGAAGCTCCCAAAGCTGCCTTCCAAAGAAATTCAAGACACCAAGGCATCAGTCAGTAACAAAGACCAAGACAAGTCTGAAAAGAAGTTAGATAATACGCACAAGACTAGCGGGCATGATTCAGCCTCCAAAGCTAAAGAGTTTGAAAAAAGCAAAGTAAAAGACAAAAGAGAACACACAAAAGATGGAGAAAAGAATAAACAAAAAGAAAATGAAGATGTCAAGAAAAAAGATGAAAAGAAGTCATCAGCTGAGAAGAAAGATGCCCAGAAAGGTTCCAGTGCCAGTACCAAGGAAGACAAAAAAATTGAGAAGAAAGTGGAAGACAAAAAAGAGAAAACGGAGAAATCTAAAATAAAAGAAGGGAGTAAACTGAATATTTTTAAGAAAATAAAATCAGATATTGACCTCAGCAAAAAAGATAAGAAACAAAAGCCTAAAGATGTTCACAATAAAGACAAGCAAGTAGACAAGAAACTCCCTATGCTCTCTTGCATCACTAAAAATTCTACACCAGAGGTAAAAGCAAAGGAGCCTTCAAAGTCAGAAACAAAAGATCCAAAACAGGGGAGAAATGAAAGTAAGGATCTTTCTGCAAAAGATGGCTCTTCAAAGGCTGAATCTTCTACTAAAATTGATCAAAAGACACTATCAAAACCAGAATCAAAAAATAAAGTAGATTCAAAGTCCAACACCAAAGCTTCAAATGATCTGAAGTCTGAAAACAAGGATAGCAGCTCATCATTGAACAAAAAGCTAACAGTAGATTCTTCTAAACAGAAGAAAAATACTGAAGGCAGCAAACAGTCTTTAAGTAAGCAAGATAAACCCCAGTCACAAAAGGTGAAACCAAAAGAAGATAAGTTAAAAGAGAAGCAAAAGTTGAAAGAAGAAAAAGAAAAACAGAGGCTGGAAAAGGAGAAATTAAGAGAAGAGAAAGAAAAAGAAAGAGAGAAAGAAAAAGAGAAAGAAAAAGAGAAAGAAAAAGAGAAAGAAAAAGAGAAAGAAAAAGAGAAAGAAAAAGAGAAAGAAAAAGAAAGAGAAAAAGAAAAAGAGAAAGAACGACAAGAAAGGGAACAAAGGGAAAGAGATGAAAAAGAAAGGCAAAAAGAAAAAGAGGAAAGAGAAAGAAAAGAGCTTGAGGAGAAGGAGAGGAAAGAGAAAGAAGAAAAGGAAAGGAAAGAAAAGGAGGAGAGGGACAGAAAGGAGAAAGAAGAAAGAGAAAAGAAAGAGAGAGAAGAAAAAGAGCGATTAAAACGAGAAAAAGAAGAACGAGAACGTCAGAAAGAAAAAGAGCGTGAAGAAAGGGAGAAAAGAGAAGAAAGAGAAAGAAAAGAAAGAGAGGATAAGGAGAGGCTCAGAAAAGAACGAGATGATAAGTTAAAACAGAAAGAAGAGAAAGATGCTTTAAAAGAAAAAGAAAGATTAGAAAAGGAACGACAAGAACGGGAAAGAAGGGAGAAAGAAGAAAAGGATAGGCAGAAGGAAAAGGAAGAAAAGGAAAAGCTGAAAGAGAAGGAAGAGAAGGAAAAGCTAAAAGAGAAGGAAGAAAAAGAAAAGCAAAAAGATGACAGTGCAGATAAAGAGAAAATGAAAGAGAAAAAAGATAAAGAAAGAAAGGAGAAGGAGAAAAAAGAAAAGCGGGATAAAGAAAAGAAAGCCAAAGAGGATAAATTAAGGAAAGAAAAAGAAGAGCGAGCTAAGAAAGAAAAAGAAGAGCGAGCTAAAAAAGAGGAGAAAGAGAAGGCAAAGAAGGAAAAACTTAGTAAGAAAGACAAGAAGCAGAAAAGTGATAAGGAGAAAGATGATGATGAGGACAAGGAGAGGAAAAAACCACCTCCAAAAAAGCCCAAAAGAAATGAGTTAGCAGTTCTTCTTGATAGCAATGACAGGTTCCAGATGACATTTACCTCCATGTATGATCGTGTCAAAACACAGCGCAATAGGGAGCCTGAACAGCAGCAAAAGGCAGAGCCCGCTCCTAAATCCTCATTTGATAAGTTCAAACAAAATCGTAAGAAAAAAGGTAGCAAAGCTAGGTCCTCTCTATATTCCTGTGGCGGCAGCACATCAGAATTGAGTGATGACAGTGATTTGTCTGGGTCTGAAACTAGTGTAAAAGCTGAACCTGTCAAAGAATCCAAGCCCAAAAAAACGAGTCATATTAAGAAAAGACCTCATGTCTCATCCTCATCTTCGTCGTCCTGTGAAGAAGATGATGATGCACTTTTGAGAGCATCAAAATCAAAGGGTAAAAAGACTGATAAATTCAGTGACATATTTTCAACTGACTCTGAAGAGGATAACTTCCAGACTCCATCGAACAAGTCTAAAGTCTCTAGCAAAATTAACTCTAAACCACCTCCAAAACGAAGGAAAACAAGAGATGGCTCCTCTGACTCAAAAGAAGAAGGGTTTGCCAAGCCTCATGCCATGTCTAGTGTTACAGAACCTGACAGTTTGGATGACATTGATATGTCAGAGGATGATATTCCAAAGCGGTCTGTTAAAAAACCAAACAAAACAGCAAAAAGGCTTGATAAATCTAGTGATCAGGATAAAAGAGAATCATCTGTGGAGTCTGTTAGTAAGAAAATCACAAAGATGGAAAGAGAGTCTTCTGTGGAGTCTGTTTCAAAAAAATCAACCAAGTCGGATAAAGAAGGAACACCAACAAAAAAGTTCAAAGCAGACCTGAAAAAATCTGTGAAAAGTGAACGGGACAATGAAAACAAAGGTTTTATTGACGGCAAAGCCTCTAACAAGGAGGACATTAAAACTTCTGTGACAGACAAGAAGAAAGGAAAAAGTCTTGTGGAACCATCAAAAGAAAAAAAGGAAAGTAAGAAAGAATCAGATACCTGTGCAAGTAGTAAAAAAGAACTTGTCACCAAAAGGGATTTTGACAATAAAAAAGAAGCTGAGGGTAAAAAGGAATTTTTATGTAAAAAAGAAGAGAACAAAAAGGAGTTTGATGGAAGGAAAGAAGCAGAAAGTAAAAAAGATTCTGATAAAAAAGATATTGAAGAAAAAAAGGAAGCAGAGCCTAAAAGGGATTTAGAGCTTAAAAAGGACAGTGAGAGTAAAAGAGATTTAGATCAAGATAAAGCCGGCTCTACCAAAGAGAAAGAAAAATCACAGGAGAATGTCAATCTTAAACATTCTGATGATAGGAAAAAGAAAAAAGATAAGGATGAAGGTCCTGTGAAAAAGAAGAAAAAGAAGAAGTACGACCCAAAAGAGGAGGAAGAGCTTGTGAATTCATTGATAACTAAGGTCTACGACAAAGCTCTTGATAAGGAAAAAAAACAAAAGAAAAAGTCTAAACCCAACATATTTGATAGTGACAGTGACATGGGATTGTCAGAGACATCTTTTGAAATTCACGAAGAGAAAGTGCCAGTCCCCCCAGCCAAAGAGAAAACGGACCCTGAAATGCAAAAGCCAAAAGAGAAGAAGAGGGAAAGTAGTAAAGACAAGGAAGTTATGAAAGATAAGGATGCTAACAAATCAGAGAAACACTCCAGCAAAGAAACTAAATCATTTGTTGAAGTGTCAAAAAAGCCAGATAAGAAAAAAGCAAAAGAATTGCAAATTGAGAAAGAGACTGAGAAAACTATCACTTCGTCTCAAAAGAAAGAAAAAAGAGAGAAAGAAAAGGATCCTGAACCTACGGATGTGAAACTTGTCACAGAAGTTGAACCTGAAATTCTTGACGACTCTCAAGCCAAGCAACCAAAAAAGAAGAAGAAGAAGAAAGATCACGAGAAGGATGTAGATAAAGAAAAAGCTCCCAAATCTTACAAGAAAAGCAATGAACAGAAAACAGAATCGGAGAAAAAGAACTCTGAAAATGAGAAAAAGGCAAGTTCATCATCTGATGAGAACAGTGCACATTCATCTCAAGTTGTGGATGAATTTGTCAGCTTTTGGGGCCATCCTAAGCCAATTCTCATTCCAAAGCGATTAAAAGACACAACAAAAAATGATGAAGACAAAGCCAAGAGCAAAGATGAAACTAAATCAGAAGGTGTTACAGATAAGCCTGACAGCACGTCTAAAACCAAAGAGGTAGCAGTGAAGGAAGAAAAGAACTCCACTGAAAAACCTGAACCTGTTTCTGGATGTGATAAGGTTGTGAAAGTGGAATCTGAGGCTAATGAGGACTTTGTGGTACCCATTTCAGAAGCTGAGACAACAGTTACAACAGAGCTGACTCAGGCTGTGCCTGTAACCAACTCATCCCAACCTGGTTCTCACAGTGCTCAGGAGGAGTCGGTGTCTGTATCTGAAGAGGACATCATTGGCCTCCCTGATGAAACCACAATTGGTTCTTCAGTGGAAATTCATGACGACGACGATTATCCACTTTTAGTGATAGATGAAGTATCTGAGACTGTTACTGATGACAAAAAGAAGATGACAAAAAAGGAGAAAAAGCTCCTAAAGCAGCAGCAAGAGAAGGAAAGAAATGACAGAATGGATGAAGTGATTGCCAGTGTGGCCAATGCTGGATCCAGTGATGATGAAGATGTTGCAAAGTGTAGCCCTGTAAGTCTGCAGATGGATTCAGTTGGTAATGACAGAGAACTTGTGCTGTCAGATGTGATCAACCAAGAACTTAAGTATGACAACAAAATGTCCAATGAACCAGACAGTAATAATTCCATAATTTCCGATATAGTATTTCCTGATACAGATAATAACAAAAAACCACCTGAATCAAGCCACACAATCAGTGGTAATCGTAAAGATAAAAAGGAGGCTAAAGCGCTCAATGGATCGACAATAAAGAAAGAAGGGGAAGATCAAAAACACCCTAAAACCAACCTCTTGAATGAAGATCTAATCAAACGAGAAGATGATTTGGTCAAGAATTTATCTGTTATCACAGATACTCAAGTAGAAAAATCAGTGGCTCCCGAAGAATGTAAACTGTCTGAGGAAGATATAAAGAAGCAGGAAGAAGAACAGAAAAGAAAGGCTGAAGAGGAGAAGAAGAAACTAGAAGAAGAAGATAAAGCCAGGCATGAAAAGGAAGAGCAAGCATTGAAAGAGGCCTCTGATGAAGCTGCCCGTGCTGTGGAATCTCTACTGGAATTTCAGAGTGGTTTTGAACAAGAGCCCATAGATTTGGATGATGACCTTCCACCTTTGTACATCGAGCCAGCTGAAAAAGAACCACCAACAGAAACAGTTATCATTTCACCCACTAAAGACACATTAGAAACTGTAACATTATTTTCCAACACTATACCAGAAAAACTCACAGCAAATCTTGATGACAAACTATTGGAAGTAAAGACTTTAGAAAAAGGAGATCAGGGTGAAAATAAGATGGATGCATTCAGCTTTTTTGCAACACCTCCACAAGCTGTAGTCTCAGGATTCACCTCTCCAAGGAGAAATTCTGCAACCAAAGATAAAACCCCAGAACCAGTGACAATGCCATCACCACAAAGACAGAAGCAATCGCCTCAAAGACAAATACCACCATCTCCGCAGATTCAGTCGCCTCAGAGGCAGATGCCTTCACCTCAACGGCAAATGCCTTCACCTCAGAGGCAAATGCAGTCCCCGCAAAGACAGATGACATCCCCTCAACGTATTCAATCACCACAGAGACCACCACTTCAGTCAACTCAACTTCCAATGCAGTCACCACTGAGGCCCATGCATTCCTCTCAGATTGGCCTTCAGTCACCTCTGCAGTCACCTCAGCGATCTCCTTTTTTCAGCAACAAAGATTCAAAGTTAGACAGAAGCTTAATTTCTCCCAATAGAGATGTAATTGTATTACATGATATTGATACACCTACAGTTCAGCAGCCACAGAGAAGATTATCTTCTGGCCTCTCAATGTTACCAACTTCAGAACAGCTGATTGATCCCACAATGACTTCAAGGACCAAATCTCTAGAGTTTACTCCAGAACAGATTTTTCATTCTCCTCGTAGAAACACAATCGCTGCCCCAGAGGAAGTAGCATCAACACATATGGACCATAGATTCACTCAGCATCAAGGTCCAAATGTTATTTATCCCAAAGAGCGTTCACATTGTCAATCTTCCTTACCACCACCAGTTTCTATTTCACTTGACAATGCACCACATGATAAGAATTTCCAGACTCCAATGAGAAGTCTTACCATTCCACCTCATCAGGAAAATGTTCTTCTGTCACCCAAAAAGAACTCACCTGGTATCCACTTTAAAGATATTGCTCCAGATCCATCCTTATTTCCATCTCAAGCAAACAAGGGCCCCCTTCAAGAACAATTATTTCAACCCTCAAAGACCATGTTACATGAGCAATTGTTTGCCCACCATCCCAAGTCCTCACCCCAAGATCAGTTATTTCACAGTGGGAAAGGATCGATGCATGACATATTTAAAACAGGACCATCTGAACAGCAAGTGTTTTTTGCATCTAAGGGACCGGTACTAGATAAACAGTTAATATACAGTGCTAAAATACCAGAGTCCAATTTTCCTTTCCAGAAAGGTCAGCAACAAGAATCCCTATTTCCAAATGCTAAAGGTGCTCAACCTGAAAGACTTCAAGAGCCAATGTTTTCTTCTAAAGGACAAACTGATAGTACTTACAGCTATCCTGAACAGCCAATTGACTTTTTGCTCAACTCACCACCACCAAGAAATACTGAGTTCATACCTTACAATACAAGTACAGAACTTCCCAAACCTTCACTTACAAAGCAGATGGACAATTTAGACACATTCAGCAAAGATCCCTTATTCCTGGCTATGGAGACCACTCCAAGACATACAGATAGGGAACCGCCTCAGCCTAGGAGGTTAGATGGCTTTCCACCATCATTTTATCAAGAACCTGTTCCTGTTGCACCACCCAAAAATTTTCATGAAAATTCAAATTTGCAACAGCAACCTGGTTTTGATGATGATAAGAAAGGCTCCAGAAAACGCAAGAGAAATAATAAGAGGACAACTAAAGAAGATCGGGCTGCAGCACTAGCAGAACAGCAGGCAATTGAGCAAAGTGTCCAAGCAAATGTTGAGTCTATTCACAAAGCTCTCAATGCCAATCAAGCAAAGGCTGCAGCAGAAAAAGCTGTTGTTGGTATGGATAAGAAAAAAGCAGTTGATGCCTATGATTTTGAAGCTCACACTGGCCAAGAACTGGGAACTCCACGTATTCCAGTGAGTGAGGCTCACCATGCCAGCTTTGGGGAAGACTTGAAACAGGGAAGGACTAGGACTGATCGAGGGAGAGGTCGTGGTAGTGGCACACGAAGGGGTAGAAAAGTTAGGGGTGGTTTAACCTCTGGGATAGAAACTCCAGATGCAATTCATAGACATGAGCCCTTTTCACCTCAGCAGCCACATCTACCTTCGCCACCAACACAATTCCAAGCACAGCAGAACCAAGAACATCTGCCATCCCAAAAAATCCCTTATGTGCCTTTTCAGTTTTCATCACCACCTCAACAGCCATCACATCCTGCATTTCAGCGACAGATTTCCCAGCCAGTTAATCACCAGTTGCAACCATTTTACCAATCCCCACAGCCCTCATCGGGATCAGAAAATAGTTCTAGTATGTCTCTGCCAGAATGGCAGATGAAACAAATGATGCCTCCAAATCAGCTTTGCCAAACACAACAATTGCAGATCCCACCACAGCAGCAGATAGCTAAACCTCCACCTAAGAATGATGAACCAAGTCCAGAGCCCAGTAAACAAGATCTGGACTCTTCTTTTGGTGAATCAGAACTCGTTATAAATCTTGATGATCAACCCTCTAGTATTGAAGGCAAAGAGAACCAATATAGTTCTGATGGTGAAGTTCCATCACCAGCAACTCCTAAGACCCAAAGGTCTAGACGTGCTAGGAAACAACCAGATTACAAGGCAATAGCATCAGGCACACCACAGTCCCAGATACAGGTTCGATCGTCTAGGTCAGGTGGATCACCCAGAGGCAGAGGAATAGGAGCCCACTCACCCAAGAATAGCATGTCACCAAGAACACGTAGTTCAGAGAATGTACCTTCGTCTTCTCCAGTTGTTAAACTAGAAAAGCTAGAAGTGTCCCGCACAACAAGAAGGCGGAAAGAATTGGTCAGTAAATTTCAAGGAAAGGATGAAATGGGCGAAGAAATGGGTCCCACGACAAGCTTTGAAGACTGGAAAGCTAAGAAGGTTGAGGACAATAAAACAATATCTAAGGAAAATGTTTATGAGTTTGTAGACAATGAACAAGAGCAATCGATAGAGCCTAATTTGAGAACCAGGGCAAGGAAGAAGCGGGCCTCAGAAAACCAAGAATTACAGCCTCATGCTAGTACAGACTCTGTTTCGGGTAATTCCCCTGCCTCATCCTCAAATTTGCAACCAGGCCTTGAACCTCCAATATCTGAATCTCGATCATTAGAGGAAAGCAACAGAGCTCTACCACTGAGTAATGTTGATGCTGTCATTGATGCAGTCTCTAAGGGCATCTTTGGCTCAAGTGAAGAGGATGGCAGTTTAGACATCCCATTATCGATAGCATCTGAGTCAGGTAAAATATATATTATAACTTTTTCAATTATCCTTTAATGTAAGCTCCATAATTAATTTAGTGCTTAATTATTATTCTGCTTTGTATAACTTGCCAGCATGAAAATTATTTTGTAACAATGTATCTTCTTTAAAATCCTGTTTTTAGCCTCCACTCCATCCCCTGTTTTGGCTCCTCCATCTACACGTTCCAGCCGTAGATCAACTGAACTAAAGAAAGATGCTGAGCAGAAAGAGAAGACAACATTCACCATTGCTGAGCCTTCTCGTTTTGAACTCCGTGACCTTGGAAAGAAAGGACCAACTGTGCCGCCTTTAAGAATCAAAGTGGCTCATGGTACACCGAAAGTTGAAAAAAATGAAGAAAAGCACTATGTCATTGAAAGGGCAATCAAAAATGAACACAAAGAGAAACCACCTTTAGCTTTTACTGTGAAACTCTCAGATAGTGGAACGGCAACCATCAAGCCAGCTGTTTCTGGAAACGGTGCTCCTTTCAGTTCCAGCTTGGCACAGATTGGTAAAAGTCAAGTACCAGATGGCACACCGAAAAAAGAGAATCACTTGGGTCTGTTCTCCGGCTTGCCACAAAATGAGCAGCAGCAGCAGGTTGGTGAACAAGAGCCTAGTAAACTAAGTGTATCACAGGCGCCAGCCTGGAAACCAGTGGATTCGATGGTTATGGATACCCCTCCTATCACAAGACCATCAAGTACTTTACACCCAAAAGTTGCAGCCAAGGTCCAAGCGTCTCAAGAATCGCTCAACAATGTTCCTCCTGTACCAGCTCTGGTCCAGACGTCTATGCCACAAAGCTCACAGCAGCAGTCATTGCCACTGACATCAATGCCTATCCACACAAAATCATCTCCTGGACCACAACATGGTGCACATATTTGGACAAGTGGTTTGCAAGGTGGCACCCCAGGCCAACCATCTCCTAACACCCAACTTCCAATTCACCTTCAAAATACTTCACCCCTTCAAAAAGATGCTCTCTTACTTCAGCAACATCCACCAGGTGCTCACCTTCAATCAACCCTAAGAAATGATCGGCCTGGAAAAGGTGGCAAACATGTAACAATGGATGGAAACCAAGAGATGTCTTCAAAGCTATCTGTTGATGCACAGAAACTCTCTGAGGTAAAGATTATCATATTGACAGTTCTTATTCCTTGATAAGTATAACTTTTTAACTGAGTAGAAGAAAGGTGGCTTATTTGTACATGTGTTCAAAAAAATATACAGGATGCAACATATTTTGAATCTATTTTTATTGATAAAATCCTTGATTTTCAAAATAGGGTCCATTTGGCTTTGCTGGACATGTGCCCCCAGTACATTTAGGACAAAGGCAATTTATCATTCCTCAAGAGCAGCAAGGATTACCTTCCTCTCACCATACTATTCACTTCCAAAGCCCGATGTTTAAGAATAACCTAGATGTATGCAAGTCGCCATCAATCCAGTCCCAGTCATCACTCAAGCTTGGCACTGATATTGGAACTCGCACACCACCAGTAACATCAGCGGCTATGCTGTATGCAGGGGTTGTTTCAGGTCAACCTCTTTCTCTGTCACCAACATCAGCAAGCCCTGAAGGACAGGTATGATCTTGATTTTTATTCATTTTGGTTTATGCCACAGCGACTTGACATTGTGCTTGATGTTTCTCTTTATAAATGTCTTTGGCCAGTTACACCTCCAAATAAAGTTTTGCAATCAAAATTTTTAATTTTAAGACGAAATTATTTCTAGCACAAGACAATATGAAATATTTTTATAAATTATTTACTTTATCAGGTAATTGAAAGGTTGCCTAATCCTATGAGAGTACAAGGAGATGCTGGACACCAATCTCCTTCTCCACTTGGCCTGCGCATACATCAAGATTCTTCAAGATTTTCAACAGGTATTCGAACTGTTTATTTAATTAATTTTTTTAATTTAAAAAACAACAACTTATGTCAAGTGTAATCGAAACATGAAAAATAATTAACAGATTTAGGTTTCTTTAAAGATCTTTACATTAGATTAATGAAGATCAATATGTTTATTACAATATATGTAATATATATTTTTTTTTTTTTTTTTTTTTTCTGTCTTAAAATTAGCAGATGATCTTGAAAGCCATGCTGAAAGGGCTCCATCTAGAAAGATGCTATTCCTTATGGAGCAGCAAAGGCTGCATCAGCATAATATGTTTATTACAATATATGTAATATATATTTTTTTTTTTTTTTTTGTTTCTGTCTTAAAATTAGCAGATGATCTTGAAAGCCATGCTGAAAGGGCTCCATCTAGAGAGATGCTATTCCTTATGGAGCAGCAAAGGCTGCATCAGCATATATATTTAGCACAGGAAGCTGCACGGAATGTTCAGGGAAATTCCAGTCAGGATCCAACCCGCAATGCGGAGGTTTCGAGACCTATAATAAGAAATGCACACGACCAGCCCCGCAACAACCCTGTTGGACTTGAGAGTGGCCGCAAGAATTCTTTAACATCTCAACCTATAACACATAATCAACCTCTTAATTTAGCAGATTCTGACAATCGAGGGGGTGACTCATCTCGCGTAACACCTAAATCAACTCCTCCAGCCCCCCAGAGCCCATTTTCATTGCCATATTTGGATCGTAAAGGAGAGCCCAGTCGACTTCCAGTGGGTGTGGCCAGTGCATTCATGCAGCCCAGTCCAAGTACACACAGGGAAAGTCTCTCCCACATTTACCCTGACCTCCCAATGGGACTTACTGGACAGTTTGGGATGGTTACTCGATTGCCCATTGATCATTTGTTATATTCATCTGGTCATCAACCACCTGCACACCTTCTACCTAGGGCTAGTCACTTCACTGGAGCATTCCCACCTAACACACGTTTCCCAGTCCATGACCAATACAGTGATAATAAGAAAGGGGAACCTGGTCATCCTGACCGGGGCAATCTTGGGTCTCCATCACCTAATCCAATGATAAGAGGACCGGCTGGTGGATTAAAGCAACAGCCTACTCGGATGCCCTGTGACCTACCACCAAACAGTCCTGTGGGCATTTTACAGGTAAGATATTTAAATTGCATTATTTTAGTTATTTTTTTTTTCACTTTGTATAAAATTTTTTCTTGAGAGTGTATTCATTTTTTTAAAATGATTGTATTCATTTTTTAAAATGATGAGTTAAATTTTTTCAGTTTTCAGCAAGCATAATTCCGATAAAATTGATTAATAAAAATAATATATTAATATGTTGACAAAACCATTTGTCTGCCATTCAGAGATACCCAGTCATGTGGCAAGGAGCCTTGGCTTTGAAAAATGACAACAGCTATGTTCAGATGCATTTCATTGCTGGAAACAGGCGCTTACCTAACCTAGCGCTTCCACAGCCAATGCATACAGGTGCACTCCCACCATTGCGGATAAGCCAGAGAATGAGACTAGAACAGGCTCAGCTTGAAGGGGTCTCAAAGAGGATGCAGGTTAGTCAGAGGAGGGACTAAAAGATTTCTATTAGTGAAACAGAAAAATGTACATAACTATTTCATTCAACGGACCTGAAGTTTTTTCAAATATTATTTTGGTCACCAATGTCCACATTTATGGAGCAAAGTTATGTTAAAAGGTAAAGACGATCATTATATAATATTACTAAACCTTTTTTTATATCTAATTCTTGTCCTTGTACTCAACAGTGTGAAGAAGATTACTGTATCCTTATAGCTGTTGCATGTGGCAGAGATCAGTCAGACATCAGCATGCAGACCAGAGCACTGAATGATGGTTTTATTACCTATCTCTTGTCAAAGCAAGCAGCTGGCATTGTCAATGTACCCTACCCTGGATCTGAACAGGTGTGTGATATTGTTCATGTAATTTTTTAGCTTAATTTGAAATGTGTGTTTGTACTTTAAACACAGAATAAAAGTTACAGCTACTCTACAAACTAGAACATTAAATCAACAAATTTCTACATTTTTGTGTGTGTGTGCATATATCATTATTATTAACTTGTCAATAAAATAATTCAGAATTTTTATCTGATTCTGTAGGCTGGATTTGTTGTCCATATTTTCCCACCCTGTGATTTTGTGGACAACTCAGTTGCTGAGCAAGGTAGCACAGTTCTCATGGAGCAGTTACGAGATGTGCCACATGCTGTCATCATTATAGCAACTACATGAAACGAGGATAAATCCACAAAGTTGTGGTCAGGCTTTAGTGAGGCCACTGTTAACTTCTAGATCAGCCAGACCAGCATATGATAAACGTGTGATCAAAATCCACCATCTAAGCCTTCTGGCCAAAAAAATGGGACAGCAAACTACTGCTTACAGAATGTCCTAAACATACATGGACACGGGACATTTAACATCTATTAATGGATTATAAACTAAAATATTTGGAGTGCATCCTTCAAATGTGATTAAAGTAATTGGACACAAATACCAAATATTGGAACTGATGTAAATCTAACATTCTATATTTTGTCAGGACATATATTGGGATATATTTGGGATTCTTTCTTTCACGGTGTAGTTTGTTTTAACAAAAAATTTTAAAAGTGACTTAAATTGTTGGTGCATCTTTAATGGAATTCTCAATTAGGACCCTGATTAGCCCAGATGTAAAGAAAAAAACGGTTTGGAAATTTGTTTTATATTTTATGAATTACACCTATGGCTATTACAAAATATATTTTGATCTAAATTTTATTATAAAAATTATTGAATTTAAAACTGAATACTATAAGAACCATTGACATAGATTTTTAGAAAACCTGTAATTAAAAAAATTACTATTTGTAGTGATTTTAAAAATTGTTTTGATGCAAAAAAATATTTTATTATTATTCATGGTTCCATGAATAAAAAAACCCATAAATATTTCAAATTCTTCCTTGAGATATCGTTAAATATAACTTATCTCTTACTTAAGTAAAAATGATTGATGAAAGGACTTTATTTGCATCATAGCAAGAAGACAAAGACTTGTATTAATTTTAAACACAGCTTTGTCCAACTTGGAACTTAAAAACTGAATAAAACCAAAGTGTTAAGCTTGGAACTTGTGAGTGTTTCATCATGGTCATTCCATTTCTCAAAAAATACCTGTAAAGTTATGCTGCTTCTTTTACAGTTACATTGCCAAAGTATTCAAATTTAAGATCTTAGTTGACCCTGGCAGGAACTAAGATTATTGATGCTTAAATAATGCAACTTAGAAGTTAGCATAAATACCACAGCAAACATTATCAATATCATTCACTCCTTCATCTAACTACTATACCTCATACTCTATTAAAATGTTTCATTGCTATTTGCTTATACTGGGAAAAACCCATTTAGATT